AGGAAGGTTGGGGAGGATTCTATGGCATGAGGTTGAGGAACCTGTAGGGTAGATTGAGACTAATACTTTCTTTCTTATCTACAAGCGGGGCCTTTCAGAACTTTGTTCAGCAACATGATATCGTCGATCAGCTTGAGTAGACTGGTGATACTACCTGCTCGCAAAACTACACTAAAATGGTGCCGGCGACCACTCTCATGTCAAAGGGCTGATCTGGACGTTGTTTACTTTATTCTGGCACAACCTCGATCCTTTTCATGACCTTGTCGCAGTTGAGCTTGGAGATGATAAAAATGGAATTGCAGCTTACCTTAATAATATAGTCGATGGCCTGTACGCATGACCTGTTCTCTGCGGCTGTTCTGACGGTCTGATTGACAAGGACCGCCCTTATGTCTTGCAGCCTTTCTTGGACATCTTCCAAGCCCTCTACAGTTGAATTGGAAAGTGAAGCCCGCTCTCCAACAGCTGTTTCCGTTGGCGGAAGTACTTTTGAAATGTTCGGCGTTGTAGACCTTTCAGTACGGCTTTCTTTATTTTCTTTCGGCGCAGATGTATCTGAGACGGATATAGTGTCGAGGGTCAAGGGTGATTTGCTTTCAAAAGAAACTGAATTATTTCGATCAGTCTTTTTTGTAGGTACCGGCGGGATGAATTCAGTAGGCTTCCATGATTCGATGTCGTCAGTTAAAGAATCGAAGGAGGTAGTCTCTACAAATGTTTTGCCAGTTTGATAAGCTCTCCTAACCGGGCTATTCTTCTTTCCGTCTGGGAATTCCCACAATTCTTGTCGTTCGTCTGGTAAGCAAACAACGTAGATTTCCTCTTGTAAGTTCTTATAGATTTTGCCTCCATAATGCTGAATTTTATTCTCGAGTCCTTCAACCCCTCTTGAGCTCTTCGATAGCCAAAACTTCATACCCTTTAAAGCCCTCTGGGGCCTTTGGCGAGTCGTCATATGGTGAGGTATATTTTCGAGAATTCTTGGTGAAAAGTTGAGCTTAGCAGCGGTATCCAGGTATTTATCAACAGCTGAAGTGACCCTAGGATCGTACTGGAAGCCAAATTTACAGGCATACGTTAGTCTGAACTATCTTCGTTCTATTATTGGCTAGTGTTATGACTCCGATGTCCTATGGCTCTTTTTGTGAACAAGAGCAATGTTCTCATTCCCTAATCCTTTTTCATTGCATGAATACATGGTATCATTCTCGGATCTCAATTATGTATATCCGGCTGTTTTATTCGTACAGCTGATTTGCTAGGCTTTCACCTCGCGCGATATGTGGCGGCTTTCATCTTAACCTAAATGCTCTGAATGAGACTCTGTAAGCGTTCGACGCGACCGTCGAATCAGTGAAGCAACTCGGGGCCCTCCGGTTACGCAACATAAGTACCCACCATGCAGTCGTTTCTCACCCATGACAGTCCGCGACGAGCAGCTCCTGAACACTTCGGAACGAGAAGAAAATGTTTTGGCATGCACGGTAAATCAGCACCACAGTGCTAGGTTGCGGACCAATTCTTTATCTTGCACGATGCGGAGCTCCTAGCACTAGCCAGCGAGTTCTTCATGGCTAAGCTTTCCACTATGTAACTAGTATCAACTATAGTGTGATCATGTCGTTGTGCTGGTGGTAGTATTATGAGGGCAAGTATATCATTTCAAATTTTAAAGGGCCTCTGATCGCCAGTCTCCCTTCCAGCAGCAACTGGGGATCAAGATCAAGGCACATCAGCTTCGTGCTCAACTGTGTCACTCCTCAACCCTGGTAGATAGGATTTGACCGGCAGCGAACTAATTGCGGAAATGCATAGGTGCTTGGTGCCTGGTATTGATGCTTTACTTCCATATTACTTGAGACGTTGGAGCCGCGTTGGTCTCGACTCACGTATTGAAGTGAAATGGGCCTTTGACACAACATGTTGATCTGTCTCTGTTGCAGCAATGTATTGATATATGGTAAAATCTATAACCCGCCAGTTTCCCAGAGGTCCCTGCGGATTGCGGCTACTAGTTTGTTGCTAAAATCCATTTCCAGTCTCATGCAGATCACTCCATAGCGTCTATGGAGCTTTCACGCCTCCATGGGGCTTCACTGGTATGATATGCTCCAGAACCTTGTGCTTTTCTCGCATCCTCTTCAATTTCATTGCCAGTCCCGACATGGTCATGGGCTTCCAGTACATCGCATATCCCACTTTAATAAACTTCCACTTGATGTTTTCCAGCCTTGACTCGACAATATATCTTTCATCTGGCGCCAGAAAGCTTAGGTCAACGACTCCCGCATCGAAACCTTGGACGTTGGGGATATATGGTAGAGTGGATTGTTGATGCAAGGCGTCTTGAACGCATGAAAATGGAGTGGTTTCCAAAACATCTTGGGGAGGAAGACTGTAGTAGTTGTAATACTCTTGAGGGTCGGCAAACCAGTAATTGGCTTCCCAAGGACTCCAGAAAGGCCAGTAGAATGGTGTGGGATCTGACAGCGAACTGTAGTATGGATATGCCACGATCGAATCGTCAACAGGAACTACAGAATAGTCTTGCCTCGGCCACGGCGCTGTACGCACGAGGTCTTGGGGAGAAGGTGCTGCAGCATTTGCGAGAGAGTCCCAGTAGAATGGAGGAAGCAAGCTTGATACTGAATGCTCAGTAGCATTGTAGGGATAGAGAGAATCCCAGTTCTGTCCTGACGAATGATGAGCCATCTCGAAAAGCTGGACAATCAGGCCGCGGTGTTTGCAATGGTTTGAATAAAATGTGAAATCCTTGGATGATTCATAACTTTTTTGCTTTAGATATTTACGCGTCTTTCGGGGACCTGTGATGTCTGTTATAGTATCTCCTACCTGTAGTGTCCACAATGTGAATCGTGTCGTTGGAACCTTTGATCAATGTCATTTTGATTCAGGTATCGATGCTCAGCATCAAGCTCCGATTTGCTGCAAGATCCTAGAACGTCTGTGACGCAAAGCCTGCTGGTCCCATGTCTGACTTCAGTTATTCACAGATCCTACATCCACTATGAGAAACACCCAACCCACATAAGGGAGAAGGCCGACAGGTGAAGGTTACGAACAAGGGCTTCAGTCAATCCCGGCTAATCTGATTAGTAGGACATGCTCATTGACCTACAGGATATATGGGCCAGATTCAAGACTTAAAAAAACGCTTTCCGGATAAAGAGCCTGCGGCACGATGGTCGGAGGAAACAACGTTGACAGGTACCACTTGACAATGTTGATTGGGCAAAAAAATGATGATTCCAAGTTCAGGTCGAACGACGCCCGATCGTGGATCTCGGTCATCTTTGCCTTCTCCGTTTTCGCGCCCTAATGTGATGTGGCTGGGCGAAGCACGCAAAACACATGATGGACACAAGACGCGGGGGGCCCCACTCTAGCGCAGTGAGCTCACGGTGAACTCACGGTGAGGTGAAGTGGGGCTTCTTCTTACCCCTGACCAAGATCCCTACTTTAGTCTTGGCATTCAAGTAAGTACTAGTCTACGCACGAGCATGGCGCGGAACCGGATTGTGGGCGGTTAAGGAGTCCTCGGGGAGAAACAAAACATCGGTCTTGATATAGGATGTCAAAAGGGCGACCTAGAATTAGCCAAGACTTACACTAAATTACCTCAAACCTTTTGTCATTTAGGATCAAGGTCGCGAGTTTTGTTTCCTCCTCTAGAGAGCCAATTTCATTTAGCAAATATCCTGTTTCCATATTTAAGAGGGCCTCTCTAAGGCAGTTGATCCGACTAAAATGGCGCAAGATGACGGTGGGGAATGTAAGTCAAACATTGACCCCACAGGGCTCAAGCAGACTCATTCCTGTAAGAAAAACGATCGCATGCCATGACTCAGGTATGTATCATAGTCAACACCAATACAGCTCCAGCCGGTGCATGGCGTCCTGAGTGTGATATTATCATCAATGCAAAACAAAATAGCCTTGGTTAATTGACTTGGTGCTGATATGGAGTATTTGATTTTTGATAGATTAACGAATCAAAAAAGTACTTTCTATCTACTGGAAGACGTAGTCCACAGTGATGTAGTTTTGAGAAATAAGCCTTTGTCTACTCTCCCCATCTCAGCATGCTTCGCATGCTAAGATCCTGACTCGAATAGTTTGCTGTGGAAGAGCTTGACGGCCAATCAGAAGTAGAATCAAGTCCTGGAGGAAATTGACGAACGGTAGGAAGTTGTGTGTTGCGTCCTCATCTGGATTGTCTAAAACTTCTTCCCATGTAGCCTCTTCTCGTGGCAATTTGCGCCAGTCTTTGTAGTCTACTTCTACGAGGCGATATCTATCCATCTGAAACACATCCATAACGGGTTTATTTACCTGTTCCTTCGAGGGTACCCACTGCTTTCGTTTAATCTTGTAGTTGACAATCCATATTGCCTCTAGATTGCCAACCTTTGCGCCACGCAACGCGCATGAACACAGAAGATTCAGTATGTCAGCGGATGGATATTTCCTCCTCTCGGAGAGCCAGTCTGTATGATATTCCCAGCCAACGTGCCGCATTCCTAGGCCCCATTCCTCTAAGCCTGCACCAGGTCCCTTCGTGCATGGGGAGAGTGATTTTGGCTCTAGAGGGTGACGCTGAAAGATGACGAGGTCTTCTGGATTGCACGTAATCTTCCATTGTTTCGTTTCGTCAATTCCTACAGAGGCTGAGGAATAAGGCGTGAGATGGCCTGCAGTGGTGCAAGCTGGGGCGTGGGCTGGACTGTTGCGAATGTCGCTTCGTGACTGTCTTTCATGGAGGCAAGCAGCGTAACGAGACTCTCTGCAGGTCACCCTGAGACTCAAAAGGGTCACGTAAGAAGAAGGGTTGCCATCAAAACAAAAATCCTTTCCATCTCTTAAATCACTTGAGGTGTTTGAGATGGGACCGATGGGCCACCTCGGAAGTAGTAGGTAGTGATCCATGGGCCAGTTGCTCAGGAGGATACCATAGCGGCTCGTCTGAGATCGGCTATGGTTGAAGAGGCGAAAGAAATGTGCTCCAGGGCTCTCCGAATGAAGAGCAAACCTCCAGATCCTAGCCCTGAGCTCAGGCGGGAGCTGCTTGAAACCAAAGAAAGTTTCGAGCATCTTGGGCCGATAGATGGTAGAGATCTTCGTTTACGAAGATCTCGCACAATTCCAACCAGGCCTTATAGCAGTATGCTTTTCTTCTACAGCCAAGGATCGTGGTGATACGAGTCCTATTGATCCACAGTATGTCGCAGCATTATGACTATGGCAAAGATCTGTGAAATCATTGTTGCTAGTGTCGTAAGCCGATGTCGTAAAGAAAATGGAGAGGACTTCTTGTGTGAACGAGCATACATGACGAGGACATCCAACCTCTATCATGGGCGTCCTTTTCCTACTATGGTTAATACGGCCCCCGAGGCCTCAATTTTCTTTTTACATGTTCCACCAGCTACTTTCACGAACTGTGGAGGCCCATCGAAGTGTCAAGGATGCTGTGAACAGGCAAGCAGCGTGACCTAAGCCCATAGAGTGCTGGAAGGGTTCATGACAGCCAATTGAGAATAGAACGGGTAGTTTTACCATTGGATCACATGTGTTTGCTGTCAACCTGTCTGGAGCCAGCGCTCTCTATAATAGCCTAGTTGCTTCTGGTTGGTGGCCTGTTTGTACTCACTATCTAGAGGCGAAATAACGACATCAAACCAAGGCTTCCATCAACACGATCACCGCTATGTCATGCTCATACATCATTTCGGGAATTGGCTTCCTAATACTTGGCCATATCATAGCATTAATGCTTTACAGACTGTATTTGCACCCCTTAGCCAAGTATCCAGGTCCGTTCTGGGCACGGATCTCGGCATTCCCAGCCTTTTATTACACTCTCAGACAGGATCGACACGTCTGGTTCTGGAAGTTACAGGAGAGATACGGTACGTATTATACGCCTATCACGTAAATGAGAGTCCCATAAAGGCTGACAAGCGCTCATACAGGCCCAACCTTTCGTATCACTCCTAATAGTGTTCTGATCAACACCCCTACCGGCCTAGAGGCCATCTACAACAGCAAGGCAAATGTCAAGAAGGCGGAATATTACAGAGTATACCCACGTAATGTCCATGCTGTTACAACTTGGAATAGCATCGATAAGACTACCCATGCTCGAAAACGGCGAGTTATGAGCCATGCTTTTTCTGATAAAGCACTTCGCTCGTGCGAACCTCTTATTCAATCCAACATCGACCGATGGGTTCAGCTACTGGATCAAGAGATTGGAGAGAAGAAACGGTCTGACTCATTGAATATGGCTCGATGGGCTGATCATCTTGTCTTTGATACCCTAGGCGAGTTATGCTTTGGTAAATCCTTCGGTATGAAGGAACATGATAGTGAGTTACGGCATATTCCAACGCTTATGACTGACTTTATGTCCACGATTCATCCGGTAAGGTAAACTACACTATCTATAAAGCTGTTGCTAATTTCAGATGTTCAGATTGCCTACTCCCCATTCGCTTATCTCTGGGCATGGCTGAAGCCTAATGGCCTAGACTACCTTCTCGCAGCTATTGCGCCTCCAGCCTTGAGCAAGTGGCAAACGTTTGTCGAGAAATGCTTTACTCAGAGAACTCAGCTTGAAAATGAGGCGCGAGGGGTAGGTAAACTGGGTACTGAAAGTCGAAAGGATTTCTTCCATTATCTCTTTCATGCAATTGATCCTGATACTGGAAAGGGGTACAGCAGCGATGAGCTTTTCGGAGAGTGTGAGTCTCTGCTTATTGCTGGCTCCGATACGTCTGCCATAAGTCTCGCTGCTGCTTTCTTCTATCTTACAAGATACCCTCTTGTACAGGACAAACTTGCCAAGGAATTGAAATCTACATTTCCTAGCGTTGGCGATATCAGGGGTGGCACAGCTCTCTATTCATGCCAATACCTTCGAGCGTTCATTGACGAGACAATGCGCATGAGCCCTCCTGTTCCAGCCGATCTTGCTCGAGAGGTTCAAGAAGGTGGCATTGCTGTCGATGGGCAGTATATCCCCAAGGGTATGAAAGTCAGCACAGCATCCTATTGTATACATCATAATCCTGATATATATCCTGAACCATTCAAGTTTCGTCCCGAACGGTGGATTGTCGATGAGAATGCCGAGCGCGGAGTTTCTTCTGCTAGTGTCTATCTAGCTGAAAGTGCATTTATGCCTTTCTCTGCAGGCCCTCGTGGGTGCGTTGGGAAGAATCTGGCCTATCTGGAGATGAGCTTAGCTTTGGCAAAGGTAGTGTACCACTTTGAGATCCATCGTGATAATAACAGCAACCTGGGAGGCGGAAGTCCTGATGCTATCAGGGGACGCCGTACTGTGGACCAGTATCAATTACGAGACATCTTTGTTGCGAATAGGGACGGGCCCTTAGTACAGCTTACCAAGCGAACCTGGAAGGATTGATTGCTCAGTGTTCGGGTCCGGACAGTTCTTCGCCTCCTGAGTTTCTCGTACATTGAGACAACTGGGTAGCAACCTGTATACGCAATAGTGTACACACTACCTTTATGTTTCATTAAATAAACAACTGTCGCGCAAGGCTACGATTCCAGATCGTCAAGTCCGACCTAGAAGGCATTACCGTCTCTATATACTTGATAAACTACTTGTGAAACATGATATCGAAATCTTCGAGAAGCGTATCAGGCCCCATTATGAAGCCTCAGTTTGACTAAACTTTCGTCGTTTTTAAAACGGGGACTAAAAGACAAAAGCATCCCGCTTAAACTGGCCACTGTAGCTACATGTATTGTATGGGAGTCTGGTGATTTCTAAATATCTAGCTGTACTGGCACTTAGGAATATATTGCCACTACTCGCTCTTAGTTCACAGTACAGTTTTCTGCGAAAGGCAAGAGTAGTTTGGCAGTTTCGGACCGACCCAAATCGGCAACGCCCTTACCACCAGGCCTTTTGCTTCTTTGAACGTTACGTCTTCAAGAAATGGCCATTTCAGAGATGGAATCGTCATTACGCATTCGTCCGAACAACATGCTGTAACTCTGGGGGCGCTGGGTAGCTGAGTACTTACAGTCAGTAATCTTGAGCATCAACTGGCCTCAGCCCCACAAAAGAAGCCAATGTACAGATTGCGAGTCATTACTTTTTGAAGCTAGAGGATCCTTCGAAATCCCTCATCTTTCACGGAGACGTGGAGGCGTTGTTATCGCCACGTCAGAAAAATGAAACTTTATATTTTACTATGGATAATTGGGTGAACAGGTGGATACTGTGACACAATAAACGAGTCTTGATGGCCTGCTCCCTCCCCAGCAGAAGCGGGACTATATGCATTACTGTGAACAAAACCTTGCAGCGAGACCGGGGTCATTGTGGCATCAACGCCCGCCTAGACTAGGTCAATATCCAACACCTAACCCGACATTCCCGTTCGGCATTTCACACCAGTGACTCTCCACTTCACAGACTGATCCACTGCTAGCAATCCTCGATTCCGGTTTCTCAGTAGGTGCATTCACTTCATATGCTGTGATCCGCTCCCTGGTGGATATGATAGACGAATAAGATACATTGGGATTAGGTACAGGGGTAGAGATCTGTCGGGGCCTCTCAACGTATCCCTGATCTAAGGGCTGGCCTTTGGTCCGGTAGGGCTCTCTGTTTCCTACAAAAAAGGCGTCAAGATTCGTAATCTGCTGTATTGTACACCTGTTATCTTCGCTTAGCTTTGCATTAGGTATACCCTAGTTTACACCATTACGAACAAGTGCATTAGATCACAGAGATGAGTGTTGATTTTACCTTTGGCGTGAGCTGCGTCACATCAGATACCAGACACACGTCCTCTGGTAGCTCATCGATTCGTTCAAATCGGGGCGACAACTGCAAGGCTCCACCGCCACCAGACCAACCTCCTCATTGTGGTTCGTCTTGCTTTGAGAATTATCTCATGAATTTGAGTTCAATACACGGGCCGCCCACAGGCCAGCGGAATTGTCCTCTTCCTCAAGAATCTATCAGATATGATACCGCAGTGACTGAGGGTGAGTTTGGGTGTAACACAGACCCTAAACGTACAGAGGTGCCTTGGTTTTTGGCATCACCTGGGACCCCTATCGATACGGCGAGTTCTGAGGGAGCAATCGAGCCTACATCAGTTCTGAACCCCCTCGACTGCTCCTCTCCTACGTACAATCCTGCTACATGGGCTATGAGCCTATACTCAAATGGTCCAGGCTCTCCTGCGGTCGACAACTTGGTTGACGACGGAAGCCCCTTCCTTGAAAAGCCTGAGGAGAACGACCAAGGAGACCTTCATAATTTCCAGTTGGAAGAAGGGAAAGCCGTACTCGAGTACGAAGATTTCGTCCTTTACAAGGAGCCAGACTGGTTCGATGATTTAGAGCCACAGCTATTCGAACGACCGTTTGCAACGCCCCAACCTAGGAATGACGATGAAAGAATGAGCGATGATGAGTACATATGTTATTGTGGGTATTGTTGGCCATTCTCTGTGGATGATGATGCAGGAGAGCAGGCAAGTTTGTATCACAGTGGGGTGGATGGAAATGATGTCGCTAGTGCTGCGTGACATGGTCGCTTAAAGTGTAGATGCTCTATATGACCCATCAGTTTATTTCATTGCCAATAACTACAACTTTGATATATCTAGACTTCTTATCTAGACCTCGAGACTAATTGAAGGTGTTTATTGCTGCCTGGTGGCTGCATGGTGGTCGAAAACATTGACTGTAGGCATTGGTTCGTGATCCTGGACACACTATCTCAAGCATACGTACTCACGTCTTGAACAGCAATAGAGAGGGCGAACGAGGAAGCTTTAATGTATATAGGCTTAGCGAAATCTGTAAATGTATAGGCAGACAATCAAAGAGTGATAAGGAATGACTCATACGGTGCAGTTTAGCATCAAGGTTGTGGCGGTTGTAAACGTACAGGTTTGCGACAGCCAGGTAACAGAGGACCAACCTAGAGTAAGTTTCATTACTCACTGCGCATATTCGACCTATAGAGTGATAGTATAATGAAGAAAGAGGAAAGGCAAATCATCTTGCCTTAAAAGTTCTTATTAAATGGACCATTTTCACTGGATATACCTAAAATCAAGGTGAGAGGTTGATTTTGGCCTCTTGGAATCAAGGCTATATAGTTACAGGACATTTCAGGGCCACAAGGCTGATGTCGACAGGAAGCTCTCCTAATTCGTGCCTAAAGCTTAGACCGCCCTAAAATGATACCCTGCGGCTGTACTCGAACCATGCCGTACTCTTTGACTTCTTCTAGTCGTCGAAGAACTTCATCCTCGCTTGGGGAGCCACCATTGATTCGCCGATACGCTGGAAGCAAAACTGCCTCGTCAACTTCTTTATATTTACCACGCTGTACATGGATGAGCTGTCCGTTTCTTGAGGTGTCAGCCATGAGATAAGCAGCGCAACGAGCTACTGTCGAGGCAGGTTGCACCTCTACGTGTATATCCTCAAGTAAGCTCTTCAATGATGGGAGTACATTGCTATCAGTCCAGCTGGGAGCCAAGATATTGACTCGGATTGGAAGCTGGGCTTCTTGAAGCCGTGGAATAAGACCTCGACCGAAGCCGAGAACCCCGTGCTTGGCTGTAGCTGTTCCAGACCATCAGTCAACAAAATAATCTGAAGATAGTTCCTTCTGCTTACCATAGTCAATAGCTCGAAAGCGCTGCAAACCGGTCGCGGATCCAGTGATAACAATGCTGCCACCATCTTCCTGCTGGCGTAAGTGCTGAATCGCGAGGGTAGAGGTGTTGATGACACCCTTGAGACTTATGTCGAGAAGCTGAGTCGAGGGCTCGACTGCATCACCGTTTTCGTCAAAGTCTGTACACAAGTACTCTGCCTGAGGGCCAACCCCTGCATTGGCAAAGACATGATCGATACGGCCATATATCTTCTTTGTGTTGTTGAAAAGTGCAACTAAATCTCTCCAGATTGAGACATCCGTTTTGATGAATGTATATGTACGTCCAAAGTTTTTTTGAGGGGCTTGAACATCACCGCAAACTACAGATACCCTGAGGGACAAAAGTAATTCAACCGTGGCAAGTCCTATGCCAGATGACCCTCCTGATTTAGATATTTTAGCGGCGAGCTACATCTGTGTTGTTGCCAAAGGCCTCTTCAACATGAATGTTGGGGGAGTGTTGTTTCATACCTGTGATAATGACTACTTTGCCCTCAAGGGACGTCAAGTCTTTGTCTTCAATATTGAACTCTGCCATATTTCTCGGCGAGTAAACCTCTTTTCCTCTTTCTTTGTCTCTCTCTTTTCCAGCTTTACTGGAGAAAGGTGGCAAAGTTTTTGCGAGTATTGTCAGCACGTGGAGTGGCAGCAAAATAGTATTTGAGTACAAGGATGGTGTGATTTCAGGGGCCGCAAGCTTTTGCCCTCGCCGTCGGAGTTAGGAAAACTCTGTACTGAGCAAAATTGACATAACAGAAAGCAAGGGATGCGTATGGTACGGGGGCTTTCACGCACACCTTTCACAGTTTCATTCTTGCTGATGAAGCTGTTGTGGGGCTAAACCATGTAAGATTTTCGATTTTAACCCTGCCGTCATTAATCCGGCAAACAACAGGATGCCGAGGATGAGCTTCAATAAATGTGGAGGTGCTTCGAGTTGGTATCAAGATCACCCTTTTGACTCCCCAAGTCACGTGCCAGTCTGGTATGGTTGAGAAACTATAATCAAGACCGAGGGGTCTCGGGGGAGTTCTCTACGCAGGGTGCTTTCATAGGTGGATGCTCATCAAAAGACACCCTAGGCATTAGAAGTACTACGTGTGTACATTCTTCCTGCTTCTCATCCCGTTTTCTCATTAGCTCCTTCTCCACTGAAACGCTATTACTGGCGAGTCGCTAAGGCATTTTTTTCAACGCTTAGGGCGATAACTTGGAATCTGCGGCATAGCTCGCTGCTGAGTGTGCGATCGATACTCGAAACTGCGCCTATAGCTATTTGGCACCAATGATCACGATCATTCGGTCCAAAAAGCTCTAGGTATAGGTGCAGCCAGGTCCCAGATATTATGAAAGGTTGAAACAAACGCCGGGGTGATGTATATCGCCTCCCTCCTTCGCTATATTACTTTAGGAAGGAAGGGGCTTCCTTGCTAGCGTAAAAGACTCAAAGTTCAAGCTCAGGATCAATTTTTGTGTCAAAGTCGGTGGTGGAACGGGTCCATATTATCTCACTCCATGATCTAGAGTGGTGTTCTGCTCGCTCATTCTACACCGCTCCGCCTTTCTTTGTACTTTATAGCTCTCTTGGTAGCTGCTAATGCTATCAGGTTTATGGTCATTGTTGCACGAATAAGAGGCTCGTACCCAGTCTCTTGCCACTAACTTGGTATGAGAATCAACCCAAAATTGGTGAATAGTCCCTTCAGAGTATCTCTGAGCGATACTAACGGCCGGCGTGGGCTTGCCTCACCTACGAGCTTGAACGTTAGAAGGCTAGACTGGTAATTTCTCGTCCTTAGCGTCGCTTTGTCTGGGACATTTCAATTTCATCGCACATCCTTCACCATGTCCAAACCTGTTGTTCTTGAAGATATTACTGGCGGTAGCGCAAAGGCTACTCACCTCTGTGTTTTAGTCCATGGCATAAGCTTCATTGCTTGAACATCAATCCCCACACGTAATACAACGCTGGCTGTAGTGATAGCTTTGGGGAAACCCAAGTCATGTACGCAATATTGCCAAGGTTTTGCGTGACGAATATTCCGAAAACGAATTGTATATCCAGCCAGCCGAGAAGAACCGCGGCACCTTCACATACGATGGCATTGAGCTTGGCGGTGAGCGCGTGTGCGCAGAGATCGAGGACAAGCTGCACGATATTGAATCGCAAGGGGGTAAGATGGCCAAGTTTAGTATCGTAGGATATTCGCTCGGGGGTCTAGTTTCGAGATACGCGGTTGGTTTACTTTACGGGAAAGGAATTCTCGATGAATTCGAATGCATGGTAAGTCTCAGCAATAGGAAAAAGGATTAGATGAACTAACAATCCTCTCAGAGAACTTTGTGACATTTGCATCCCCCCATCTCGGAGTGTGAACGCCACTTAATGGATGGCTCAACAATATCTGGAACGTCCTCGGCGCCCGAACGCTATCAGTGTCCGGTCACCAACTTTTCACCATCGACAAATTCCGCGACACCGGCAGACCCCTTCTCGCCGTCCTCGCTGATCCAGATTCTATCTTCATGTCTGGTCTCAAGAAGTTTAAGCGCCGCACACTGTACTCAAATATCGTCAACGATCGAACCGTGTTGCACTACACATCCGCCATTACTAAGCATGATCCTTATGCAGACCTTGACAAGGTTAATCTCAACTACCTGAAAGGATACGAGGGTATGATTCTTGACCCTGACCATCCTATTGTGCTTCGACCGAAGCTTCAACAAGATGCCCAATTGACAAAGTACAAAGCTCTCAATAAGTGGGTCAAGAGCATCCTGGTTATTCTGAGAGTGGGGTTGATAATGCCGATCGTTGTTGTCGTATTCCTTACATACTCTACCGTCCAAACAGTCCGAAGTGCCAATCGAATCAAAGCGCATGAGTCAGGAAAGGGTGGATTCACGGTCAAGCAGTATCGCATGCCCTTACGGATTCAGGAGACTCGAGAAGAAACGGAACAAGCTTGTAAGGTCCTCAACAGCTCACAGAACCAGAAATACCTAGCAGCGTCAGATTCAGAAGATTGTCTGACCTATGATGCTGATCATCGCAAGCTACTAAAAAAACGGCGCAGAATATCGACTTCAAGACAGCTAACGCTTGCGCTAATCCCTGATCAATTCGAGATGATCGAGAACTTGGATGCAGCTGGTTGGCGCAAGTTCCATGTTCACATTCAAAAGCATCGATATAGCCACGCGGCTATTGTGGTACGTATGGATAAGGAAAATTTTGCTGATGGCTGGGTTGTTTCAAAGCACTTTGCTCGAAGTGAGTTCCTCAGATAGCGGGGACGCTCTGTTACAATGGATTGCAATGTACTTAAGCTCCACACATTGCTAAGGCGTTTGGAATATCCCTCATACGATTAGGATATATGGATGAAATTTGCGTTCTTACAATATGCTTTTTATTAGACAGACGTAGGGAAACCTTTGGCATATGGGAATAGCCATCAAGTCATTCGAAACCATGATTTGTTAAATCTATTCAACTGATGTCTGGGCAACAAGTAGATCTAGAATTGAGTGAATTGAGTTCCATGTATACTACGTCATTGTGCAGACTGGATGACACCAGTTCCTCATGCTCCTACACCATGACTTGGCGAGTCCTTAAACTGTCGTCAACTCACCCAGCATTGGTGTTGCAGTCTGATAGAGCTATGATTCAGCATCACATGTTTATCGCCACCCTTGATCAAACGACCTCCCATCACGACCCGATCGAGAACTTACGCGGAAACACCAACCAATGCATATGCGACGAATGAAACCCCGGTATTGAGTAAGACTGACCTAGCAGAGAGAAAGTAAGGGATATGTATGATACGGGAGCTTTCACGCTCACCTTCCATCGTTCCATTCTTGGTCGTGAAACTATTGTGGGGCTATACCATTGCAAATGTAAGATATTCGATTTTAACACTGCTGTCACTAATCAGGCAAACAGCAGGACGCTAAAGATGACCTTCCGAAAATATGGGAAATATCGGTTCTGTTTGTGGAGTTTTCTGTGCGGGGTGTTTTCACAGGTGGATGTTCATCTGAAACACATCATCATTTAACACGTATACCAGCGGGACTATCGCCGGCGTGGACGCTTGGGAGGCCCTCCGTCACGCTACCCACCATCAACAAATTACTCCACTAGTATATCCCTTACGATAAATGGTGAAATTTGGTATTGCTTGTATGCTACATGATCCGCACATAAACTTAGATAAATTTCATGAAGCTTTCCACGAGTTACCGCCCGTACTTCGCAAACACGTATCTTTCAAGAACCCATGGGATATCCGCTGGACACTCGAATCAGCGATGGTATCCACCATCCTTCAAAGGTTACTTGCTATTGCCGCGCTCGTGAGTAAAACGATCTGTTTACTACCTACGTCTATCATTTGATGCTCATTGAACTCATGGCAGGGAATCATTTGGATCTCCGTATTGGTGGTTTTCCGGTTATACTTTCATCCCCTGGCCAAATATCCTGGTCCAAAGCTTGCAGCATGTAGTCAAGTAAGCTATGGATAATCACAGTTCACTGAGGTTTCGTGGCGCTAATCACTTCTTTAATCAGTTATGGTTTATTCAAGCATGGACCGGTGGACGCTACCCTTCTACGCTAAGGAAAACCCACGATGAGTATGGTGACGTCGTAAGGATTGCTCCGAATGAGCTTTCTTTCAACTCCCCGGTTGCTTATAAGGATATTTATGCCCGTGCTTCCAAGGAGGATCAGTTTTTGAAAAGCGAAATCCTCTATAGCACTGGTTCATCTACTGCGCGGCCCAATATCGTATTTTCCCGGGATCCACAGGATCACCGACTGCAACGACATGAACTCTCTCATGCATTCAGCGATAAGTCACTGAGCATGGCTCAATTTGTGATCGAAGACTACACAGAACTGTTTGTAACCCAACTCGCTGAGAAGGGAGGGCCGCAAACCAAGGGTGTCGATGTCTCGGTTGTATACAACTGGCTTACTTTTGATATCATAGGTGAGATAGCACATCCGCAACAGTTTGATCAAATATTGATCCAATACTTATGTGCAAGAAGGACATCTCACCTTTGGCGAATCTTTCGGCTGTGTTAAGCAATGGAAAGGTAGCGAATGGGTTAGGCTTATCTTAGATTTTGCTGAACAGCTTAGTCTTGGCACCGTTCTGAACCGGCTCTCGGTCCCAAGTTTTGCACTCTCAGTCCTTATGCCGACGAGCTTCAAGAACAGTTTAATATCCCACGATCGAGCGACAGATGAGAAGATTGATCTACTGATTCAGAACAGCAAGGTTCAGGATGACGAGCGCAAACAATCTCTTCAGCAAAGTTACTTCTTCAACCGCATGATACGAGAAGGCGAATTCGACCCCATTCATGTCCGAGAACAGGCCAAAGTCATGATGCTAGCAGGATCAGAGACAACGGCAACGTTCCTTGCTGGTGTCACCTGCCTCCTACTCCAACACCCAGAAACATTGACAAAACTACAAAACGAGATCCGTTCTGCGTTCGACTCCAAGAAGGACATTACGAAAGAGTCGACTTTGAAGCTTCAGTATTTATCTGGTGTTATCGAAGAGGGCCTTCGTCTCTTCCCGCCGGCTCCGTTTGGTCTTCCTCGCGTCTGTCCTCCGGGAGCGGTGATTGATGGACGCGCTATCCCTACAGGCACTATCGTCTCCGTTGATAGCTTCTCCATGTCACATGACGCACATAGTTTCAGCAACCCTGATGAGTTTCGCCCTGAGCGCTGGATTGGCGGCGGCACAGGAGATGATCTCGCTGCAAGCCGTCCGTTCTCCGTTGGACGCCGGGCTTGTCTGGGCTTTAAGCTTGCATATATGGAAGCAAGAACAATTCTTGCCATGATGATATACATGTACGATTGGGAGCTAGTCAATCCAGAACTTGACTGGTTCAACCAATTGAGATTCCACATGACCTGGAAGAAGCCAGAGCTACTGGTTCGGTTTCATCCACGGAGCAAGAAGCAGGACTAGGGACGGGGCTAGAACGCTTGCAACCACCTGCAGGGAAATGAAAGAGCTATTTTCTCCTTGAAAATGAAAAGACACATGGAGGGATATAGACGTGTGTTCTTACGTGCAATGTACATGTGAAAGTCTGGGTATGAGAGATACCTCTAGTCTATTGTATTTCATATACCTACCAAACTTCTTTTTTACTTTTCTATTTCCAAAATACCTACTATTTCTCAGTACTCCATGGCATGATAATCTCAACATGCTCTACCCAAAACACGAGACTCGCCCACGTACTCAGCTGTTGCCAGAGACTTTTCGGTCGATATGGATTCGAAGCAGTTGGACGCATCTAGGTAGATGTATTGACTTGCATAGTGTGAGGCGTCAGAGTGACAAGGGTCTTCCATCCACTATAGGCACAAGCCATAGGGTAGCAAGGGTCCCATATGTAGACCAATTCTCTCGTGTTCATACGGTATTCTTGTTACCGGATGGGTAGGCGGATGAAACAATATATGAAAAGTCTTCTGTGGATTGTATATCAAGTTTGGGTGGTGGTGGTCGGAGTAAAGTCCTCACTTGGTAACCTTACATAGCCCCGCAATGACGAGTTTGGGATTATTTTGGCAATCGCATCTCTGAGAGCTTGCATCACCCGAGTCGCGCTACGCATTGTGATAAAGATGGTCAGAAGACAAGACGTCTGGACCTGTAATATATTGTTACACCCGAAGCTAAATTTGATGGCAGGGATAGTCAAATTCCTCACTCGCTCCCTTAGGATCACTCCGCTTTTAGTTAACCTACTGAAATAGCTTTTGTATACAATAATATAATCCATGATACTAGCCAATGGTCTTGTCACATTACGCAAAAAACGTAACACATCCAAGATAACGCATGCGCAGAGCCTTTTTTGTCTTTACAGATCTCCTAGCACCACATCAAGAGATAAACACAGATAAAGCAGGAAAGCGGCAATTACTTATCTCTATAGCAAGCCAGCATTTGACCTAACTGATGTCTACAAAATGCATGGAACGTTTAAAAATTCCTGATAGCCTATAAATACTGAGGATCCAATCAAAAAGCATCACGAAGCTTAGGTAAAGTCTACTGCTCTGCTTTTTATAGACCGAACCAAATGCTGTCCGCTTCACACCTCCAGTTTATATAAACCCAGCCTGCTTGTTGTTCCAACAAGCCTTCCCTGCAACAAGCTCGATAACAGGATGGCTTTTACACAGAATAAAAAAGGTCCTAAGATCTTGAATCTTGTCGCACCGTTCAACTGGATCTGCGCTGGCCTAGGTGCTGCGAGTATCATTTTTGTTAGTCTCGTCGGCGAAAAGGCAGACCAAGACGAGAAACTCTTATTTGTCGCAGGAGTTACCTTTCTTGCAGGTACAATCGTACTCTCAGCGGTTTTACCGGTACTTTTCACACTATTGAACTTCACATATCCACGCAACATATATGAATACGATGAGCATGGCACCAAGCTGTCCGAAAAGTTTCCGAATCTCCTCTGGACACTACCGGTTATGATGACCTTATATGTCCTACAATTCCTCGCCGGTATAATTCTTTGGTTCAAATCAAAGTATCAGGACTGGTCTATCGTCGTTATCGTTGTAGAGCTGTTCGCCATGTTAGGGCTTATGATGGTGGTCGCAATAAAAGCATGGAGGAGCACCATGTAGTCCTATGCCTCGGACTTACAATCACAGAGATTAGAATAGATGGCTTCAATCTAGAAGCACAGAACTGCAAGAAGATGGAGGTTTACCACCATGGCATCTAGATAGTGCTGGGGAAAGTGATAAGTATCACATGGGCTTGTGCTTTCTACGATTTTATTGAAAGACTAATGAGTACAAATATATGCACCTGTATTAGATAGATAATTGAACTGACTTTTGGACTCGGAATACATAAAATGCGACTGCAACGCTTTTACTCTTGTCTGTTTATGTCACGGACCGTAACGACCTCACTTTACACTAGAACCATAGGCTTACTGGGGGCTTATATATTTAGTTGGTGGAGATAGCTGACAAACGGATATCAGTTCGCATTTGGAGGAAGTTCTGGAGAAAGATGGTTTCGTAGTCATTGGCTATTCATGCGGCGTGTGTTCAATGTCTCACTAGAAATCGTTGTGGCGATTTCGTATCTTGCAAATGCCTGTCCACATTCACACAACCTCAAGATTCCCGTAACCTATAGGTAACACTACAATCCTTGCCTTGTACGTAGCAAGCCCAGATTGGATTAACAAGATACGCACGCTGCTGTGAACACTACATGTGCCCTATGGGATCTTGGCAGCTCGATAAAGTAACATCAATGGCTTAAGGTCCAGGACTGATCCTCAGACATTTCGGTCCCTTGACCTAGGCTCACGATCACGTACATCACAGCCGTTTATAAGCCTGAACTCACCAGCGTCTCACAGACCTAGCTCGCCAGCTATCAATTACACTTGCCTACATTGTTGAAGCTTAACACGCATTGAAACTACCATCAAGAGAATGAAGACTTCAATAACGCTCAGTACCATTACCTACGGAATCTGCCAACGATAAGCCCAGAACGGCTCAAGTTTGAACACAGTTGGACTCAACCGTCAGACTCTTGCTCTTGCTTCGCCATTGCCAAGTCAAAGCTCAAAGTATGAATAAACCATTGAGCACCCTAAAATTAGCAATATGCTAAAGATAGCGCTGCATGAGCGACGCCATGTAATGAGTACCTGGTCCGGTTGAAGTTGGAATCCTGGCATCATTTCATAATTCCCACTCTATTAATTTAGCCATCTCATTTCTGTGAGAACGTACTGCCGTCACCTTCCTTCTTTGGCTCACTATAGAGCCACCACGCTTCGAAAAATACGCAGGCGAATGTAAACATGTCTACTCTTGTATCCGATGATGGGTGATTCATACCGGCTATCAGAAAATATATATAAGTCATTCCTGGCCGCCTTATCCTAGTGACAGTCGATTGAGTAAACCAGAGCAATGAGACTTCTGATCCCACTCTACCATACGTTCATGCTCACCCAGCTTGTACTGGCCCAAGACTCAGATTCCGAATGTGCTGCTGGTCCGGTACTTTCCGCCGGAGGCTGGCGAGACTTTCTAGCACCTAACAAAGGCCTCAGGTGCCAAGGCGCAAGCATCTATTTTTTTGAAAAGGATGAGCGTCATTATGTACCAATTCAATACGGTGATGTTCTCTGCCATAGCTTACCTTCTGCAAATGTTTCGCTACCAATCGATGCGCCCTCGGGACTTGCCAGAATCACTTGGCTATGTGATAGCGAAGAGCAAGACTATTGCCAGATAGCTTCTGTCATGGCTGCAACATCTACTCCCCCGGCAGCTAACATGGCGACATACGCCATGATCCAGAACTGCCCGACCAGTGCAGTTTATACGACAGATAAATACACTGATGCGTCCAATGAGCGATCTGCGACTTTCACTACTCCATTGTGGAGAACGCCGAACGCCAAGGGCACTGCCAATACCCCCGCAGCTTTCATAGGGACTGCACCGACTCGGTCAGCAGCCCATGGCAGCTTCACCTCATTGGGACCAACCGCCCAGCCACCGGAAACTAGGGTACCATCAACTGAACTAGAAGTTCCTACTCCTACGGACAGCGAAGGAAGTATGTTTCATAAGAGTGGTAGTTTTACTACAACTGCCAATGGCTATACGGAAAATCCAACAATTGCGACACCAGCAGAGTCTCACACAGATGACTCGGGAGCTGCACAAACAACACAGGTAGATGATAATAACAATACCGCAATTCCAGCACCTTCACAACTTACGCAAACTTCGGGAGGACTATCGCCTTCCAAAGGAGAGCAAGCAGCATTGCCTTCGGACGAAGTAAATCCATCGGGGAATAATCGTCCCTGTACTTGCGGTCAGTAACTTGATCGGTCAAAAGATATAGCGTAGTCAAGATACGGTTTCTGGTGTTTTTCATCCCCTTCCAGATTTTTTATGTCACCCAGACTGATGAGTGTTCGACTTCAGAGTGTTGATCCCAAGATAGATTTAATTCCTAGAGAGACTTGTGGTTTCATACAGTAAAGAGCCTTTTGGGCCGAGTCCTATCTGATGGTCTTCCGCCTTTATGTAGCCTTACCGGCCTCACATAGTAATTCACATACACCTTGATTTCAGCCTGTGTTTGGGTGCAAAGGGATCAAACCTCTACATAGAAAAGGTTCTTGCATGTATTTGCCCCTTTGTTCGCCTCTTTGTCCTTTCGTTTTCTGTCTGACCTACGATATCTCTCGGAAAGCCTGTGAATGGGTCTACTGACCACACTGGCTTACGCTACGGAACACGTCAGTAGAAGTCAAAGACCTGATCAATTCACTGTTTAAGATAGTTCATTACCATATCTTCCGTGTTATAAAGGTTTCACGAAATATGCAGGACTGCCAGTCCTCCTGGTTGGTCCTGGTCCCCCGGTAGATGCATGAAATACTCGTTAATGTGCAATTTTTTGGATGAAATGGCTGCCTCAATTTGCTAGCGCTTGGACTAGAAAGTGGGACGAGATGTCGTACCCAGTTCCTTGAGTGCTAATAGAAATAACCCTTGACGGCATGCCCCCAAATACTCAACCCAATGATGCTCATTTAATCCTGTAATAGACATAGAGAGACACAGTGTACATACCATAGATTTATCGTAATAAACCAAGACCATTAACTACAGTGTGACCATGCACCTGGTAAAATATGCTGGCAGCTATTGGATAGGTGCTAGGATATCACGTGCAAGCAAGGATGCTTCAGATTTCGCGCCAAAATGGCGACGCCCCCAGGGGGATAGATTCTTGACACAACAGAGGATGAATATACCAATTTTACATTAATGAACCGAATACACGTAATGTCTGACAGCAGCAATATGTAACTATGAGTCATTTTGCTATGGTTCTTACAAGCTTTGTGACCCAAGTTTTAGTATGTGTTTTTTCATTGCCATACGGCTACCCTTCATTGTTTAAAACGTGAAACATGGCCGTAGTTCAACTAAAGGCCGTAGCCACGTTGTTCCGTCTGATATACAGGCGGGGGAACACTTCCTCACGATGTGCCTTTTACATTTTTAGGGAGGTGACATGTTCGAAGACCCAACTTATTCAAATATTCTATAGGCTTAAGAAATATCACAGAACCTAACAGAATAAAATGGCGGCGGTCTCTGGTTTGTTCCAGAGCTCGTCACCGCGGAACGTTTCTTACGCCGCCTCATTCACGCGCTTCCTTTCTACGGAACATACCCTTGAAGATTAGAAAACGCCAATTATGAGTGTAAATGAAGCCATAAGACGTCGGCTTCTCTACCATTCTAATCTAATATTCGTTTTCGGCTGACTGCAATTTATATTTCCCATGTCTATTTCCTGAAAAGGAGTCCGCTTCATCTGTCAAGGAGCTACTCGGTCAAACCGTGCACTGGCCCAGAGCTGTAAGCGGATAAGCTATCGCAAGGGTCTGGTCCAAACTTGGATAAATAAAGATGCGCGCAGTATATCTTGATTCGACGTCATTTAAATTTCAACCATATAAGGTTGGCGGAAGCCGATGCTTTATTTGATTTCGCTGCTATATCTGGAAACGTCCTAGACGCTCCGTGGGTTGGCTTAACGTGTCCACTTCAATATATAGTTCTTAGCCAGGAGTGACCTGTAGTTCTCGAACCCTTGATCTGTCATGAAACATGAATCTATTCATTTGGCTCTCGCTATATTCTCTGGCTAGCACGGCCTGCGATATCGGCCATGCGCTCTGGTCTCCAGACTACGGAGACACCGTCGTCGAAGACCTTGGCCAAGGTCTTCCTGGTGTCGGAGTAAAGCAGTTCGGGGCCTTAAATCCAAGTGTTAACCCCAATAGAATAATGTTTGGTGAGACTTACACTGTGCCATACGGCCCAGAAATGACTATCATCACCCCAGCTATCTGGTCCGGAAATTGTCCCAAAACCCTACTACTGCATGGAGAAGAGAAGGTTCAAGACGCTTCAACACCATCCAAACCATTGACACCGTTTAGCATACCTATAAGTGACCTTTATAGATCTCATCCCACTGTTGGGACAACATATGATGAAACAATAGACAAAACACCAACCTCAACTGGCACAGGCACAAGCCTTATGACCACTACTGTTTCAACGAGTATATCGGTTAAGAAAGATTCTACTACCACAAAACCACAGGGAACCACCCTTTTCACCGATAGCGAGCCTATCAACAAGCCTAGTGATGCAACTAGCAAAAGTGTTGAGCCAACGACCACGACAACTTCGCTATCTCAAAACACTGTGATTTCAACCCCGACATCAGTTCCAAATAGCATTCCTGCTACAAAATTGCACAAGTCTACTGTTTCAGTTGACAGAAAGCCAACCGGCCAGACTACTGGTATCACCAGTCACAATGTGAACACCGTAGCAAAGCCGACCAAAGGGACAAAGGATGCTGAAAGTCTAACAGCATCAGCAGAGACAAACTCTCCGACTAATGGCTCACCTGATGCAATTAATAGCAAGCCAGATCGCTCGGCTACCGAGGTAACCACTCACAATGTTGATCCAGCAACGACGGAATCCACAAAACCACACTCTCCGACTACAGGGTCACATAAGACCACCGATAAAACTGACAGAAAGCCAGCATCCCGGGTTACCACGGTTGTCACTACTGGAACCTCTAAGCCAACGACCACAAAATCAGGGAAGACAGCGGCGCCTACCACGGGACCGTGCCCTTGTTGGACAGATTGTGAACTTCAAGAAGAGGATTCTACCCATTCCAAAAAGATAGGGCTGGAGGTGGCAAAGTTATTTTGTAATCAGTTTATCAAAACTCCACTTGCAGCCAAGAATCCATCCAAGATATCGGAATATCGTAGTTTTGTTGTAGGGGCACACATATATCCCGGCTGTACGAAGTCTGAATTCGACGAGGCGAAATGCCTAGAATACCTTGAGGGAATTGAAACGCAATGTCCTAGGACTGGAGGCTTTTTTGAGCGTGGCTGTTTTTATGTCTGGATTATGAATCGTGAGACGACCTGACACACAGGCTGCAATGCGAATCTTCATGAAGTACAGGGATCAAATCGGTTGTGAAGATGAGGCTAGCAAGACTCTTCTCTCACAAGGCACTATTCAAATCTTGCTACGTTATCCGACTGGCTTACTCGACTTTGTTTTTCTTAGTTGAGGTTCGTCGTATTTACGTGACACAAGTCTTCATCTTTCATAGTTTTAATAGTTTGTCTCGCACAGTAAAAGCAAGTCGGTCTATAGCCCGCAGGTACCATAACCTAGACAATTTCTGACCGATGGTTCTATTCGGAGAAGCGACCTTATATTGAGTAACTGATTGCGGAATCTTCATTGCAATGATTACCAATGAAGTGACAGGAATTGGCGCTGCTTGTACCACACGGCGTAATGTCTCCCATCCTAACACACGTATCAAGGTATGCCAAGAATCATAGAAAGACGAATTAATTCTCTTCGGGCCTTCTAACCGTTTTTTCACAACTATGTGAGAATTTAGCGAGGCCAGAGGACATTAAAACATTCGCCGGGTCATGTGCGCCATACATGCTATATTCGTTCAAAACAAATGAGTCGGGTTCAAACAGTCAGGCCATAATTCCATTAATAGACATATCTTGAAGGAATCCGAGCTCACCTCGATCTATCGAACATGGTATCCATTTGGTCTATTGACAGGATTATGTCTCGTAGAATGCATAAGCGAGCATGCTATTTTTCACATCTGGCAAGAAGGGACTTGAGATTAATCTCTGCAATAGTCTGGCAATCAGGGTTGAGCACAATGAATGTACGAAGAGAATATTTTGTCATCTGTAGGTAGGGTCGGAAATATGCAAATATGATCGAACGGCCAGATATACAAATATGACTACCTTAATCTTCCGGCACTCCTGTTGTCTTTGACGCTTAATTGGCTTCCTCTTAATCTTATTCTTATTTGGATCCGTCTCTAGCCGTTGCAGGGTCTGAGCTTATTCATCTTCCCGTGATTTTCTTCGTCCAATGGCTTGAGTGCGCGCTGGTACCTGATCAAATGTCGGCAACATGGTAAAGCAAAACTCTAATGACCATGTCTCCATCTCAGAGGCCCGTTGGCAATGGATCTGCCACAAATGTAATAAAGCCTATAGGTTTAGTGTGACCAACCGCTGTTTGAGCGATGGCCATCGATTCTGCTTTAACAATAAGGTGTCGGGCTCTGTATGTCAAGATCTAATTGATATTCGATACCTCTCAATAGGCTCGCAGTTGCAGCCGACGCATTGTTGGAACGAATGTCGGTATCCTTTGCATTGCAAAGAACAAAAAAAGCACACAGCGTTGTGGTTCCCTTTCGGTGAAAATAAGCAAACAATTCAGGGAAACGTGTCTTCCTACCCTTAGAAGAGCCAGGGGCAGGCCAATATTGCAATACAGGAGCGCTCGACACAAGCACGTATGACTTGGATCAATCTTACTTCTCTCGGCTTGTCCTTTTCAGACGCCTGATATTAATGATGTCAGCGACTTTCGCAAATCCATATGTAGATACAGCACCAGGTAACACTCAATACAGTTATTAGAATCCAGTTGATCCGATTATCTAAGATTTCCTCTTCAAATAGCCCAGCTACAAATCGATTATTCCGACGGGGCAACTCAGGCCTTCGCGGAGCTAGGCACTGGGAAACCATTTAGGAAGTGCTAAGAATAACTCGTTACTTATTGAACTCTTTTTGTAAGCATTTAAAGTTCCTGTCCGCACTTGAGTAGGCTGCACTTTACCTAACGCGCAGAAAACCAGAGACTATGACGGCTGTCTTGATTGCTTGGCTCGTCTTCTCACTACTTACAGGTATCCATGCAAGGTCACTCACAGCTCACAAGGATAGTTTGCTGGAGACTCGTGATGAGAAAGTCAGCGAATACGTTAATGCTGTCTACTTCACGAATTGGTAAGTTCTTAGAAAGCGTTCCTATTCAATCTCTGCCTGGCAGATAGTTACCCACATGCAGAGACTAAGAAAAAAAAAAGGGGGTATATATGAGAGGGATTACCAGCCCAAAGATCTTCCGGCTTCGCAAATCACTCACCTGCTGTATGCTTTTATGGGTGTTAGCGCCGATGGAACCGTGTACGAGCCCTCTTCTTGGCATATATTCTGAAATCTAACTGCCCATAAAAGCTACTCAGTCGACAGCTACGCGGATGTGCAAAAGCCCTTGGACGATGATTGTAGGTCCTTCAACGACTTGAAATGTCGAAGCACTGATACCTGACACTGGTGCCATAGCTCGGACAGGGTCTGGAAGCACCGCATATGGCTGTGTGGAACAGATATATGGCCTTAAAAAGAAACACCGACAAATGAAGGTTCTACTTTCTATTGGGGGTTGGACCCTATCTACAAATTTCCCTGCTGCTGCGAGCACGGCGGCGACACGGAAGAGATTTGCCAGTTCAGCAGTCGATATTATGAAAGACTGGGGATTTGACGGCATCGATGTTGACTGGGAATACCCTACTGGGAATGGCCAGGCAAGCGACATGTTACTGCTCCTCAAGGCGGTACGGGAAGAGTTAGACGCATATGCTGACAAGTCCGCATCTGGTCATCATTTTGAGCTGTCCATTGCCGCTCCAGCCGGCCCGGAGCACTATAGTGTTCTACGGCTTGCCGATATCGGAAATGTGGTTGACCATATAAATCTTATGGGCTATGACTATGCCGGGGGTTTTAGTAATGCTACTGGCCACGCCGCTAATCTGTATGCCAACGACGGAATTCCAGGGTCAACACCGTTCAGCACCGACGCCGCTATCCGGGCATACCTAGCGGCGGGAGTCCCGGCTAGCAAAATCGTACTTGGTATGCCATTATATGGTAGATCCTTCCAGAATACCGACGGCCTAGGTGGAGCTTTCGATGGTGTCGGCCAAGGTAGGTGGGGTGAGGGGGTCTGGGACTACAAAGATCTGCCAAGGAGCGCCAGTGTCAAGATGTATTACGATACCAAAGCCCAAGGGTGCTATAGCTATGATACCAGCACAAGAGAGCTCATATCTTTTGACACTCCAGAGGTAGTCATACAGAAGGTAGCATATATCAAAAAGTCTGGTCTTGGAGGCAGTATGTTTTGGGAAGCCTCGGGTGATCGATCAGGAGCGTGCTCCCTCATTGGTACAAGTAAGGACGCCCTCCAGCTCATCGATAAGTCTCAGAATTGGCTCGATTATCCAGCCTCCAGATATCGCAACATTGCATCTGGACTGACGATTTTTCACACTTGAGCAATATATGAATGGCTCTATAAGACTCTAAGATTTGTAGCATAGAACCTGTAACTTGTGTCGCCACCCCAGGAAAGTTTTAACTTTCATATTTTCCCCTGGTCATGATTGACACTCAACACGCTTCATGCTGCCAATTTAATTCTCGCTGACGGTTAGCCTGCTGGGCGCCAGGATCTGGAAAGATGCTCACGAGAGTCACAAACCTTTTTTTTTTTCACATAACTCTACATAAATACACCAATCGATCTACCACTTACAGGCTGTTGTGAATCAGCTCACCCTCAGGCCTAAAAGCAGCTATTCTCAGCGCTATAGCGGCTACAGCAGTAACATTAAGCTAGACTCAAGTCCTGTACAGCAATGGCAAGGCGGAAATCTCATATAGATAGGACTTAAACGTGGATACCTTTAGTTGACCACGTGTAGCCATGTTGGTATTTCCCTCTAAATAGGTTAATCTTCTCAATGAATAAAATAAAGTTACCATTGTCGGATTTTCGAGCCCTGCGTTGTGTTAGCTTATCCGTTCCTGAGATTCTATTCCTCTGTCAGGCTTTCTAAAAAGGTAGCCATAACTATACCGTAACGACACCATAAACTATCTATCCAGCAGACATGCCGCCGCCGCTTCCTGGACACACCTACTCTTCACTTAGGCAACCCGTCAATTTCAGCTGGAGATGTGTAGATGGAAATGGGTCACGTTCCCGAGACACCACTGGCCAGTCACTCTTGAAGTATCCTCGGAATGACGTCGCTTATTCTAAAATGCTTGTATCATCCTCTGTGAGTCAGCGACACATCACCAAAGACGTGGAGCAGACGAGCTCATTGACAATTGACCTTGACTACTAGCAACTCAGCCAGTTCTGTTCTCGCTAACCCTAGCTCGACGCCAGGGCTATGGACCTTGGAAGTCGACCAGGATTCCCTCAGTCATTCCCGCCCACTGAAAACCAAAACAGCCTCTTATCCTTTGAAGCGACAGGAGAGCAGCACAAATAGGCCGCATCCACACGGCTCGATCAAGAAAGATTCAATCATGGACCTAAAAAGTATCTTGAATTGAGTTATGGTATAGATTCGACTTTCTTCAAGTGCTCGAACCAGTTGACGGGATGTAGCTGTACATTCATTCTTTCCCCGAATCGCCGCATATACGTTGGATTCACAGGCAAGGCTGACTTCTACGGCGCGCCACGGAGGGGGCCTTATGGCTGATTGGGGATATTGGTCGATCTACCATTGACTCTCAACTGTTGCCACGGCTGTGAGAACAGGCGAGTTTTTCAATTTCTTAATGCCTAGATTAACCACCATATCTACAGTATCGAGCACCCTTACCTTCCTCTCCGACAGTAACTCTTGTTTGTGAAGCAAAGCCCCACCTATCAACCAGAGGCATATCAATCATATAAGGTACTAAACAGGGCTAACTTAAACCAAGTTCTTATAGCTACTTCAGATATTTTATTATGCTCTGAACTGTAGATCTCTATTCATTGGGGTTATGCATAACCAATTGTGTGTAGTACGACTTACTTGTTAATAAAATTAGATTTGTTACTGCATTAGAGAACGGGCTTAGCCCGCCCTGAATAAAAACCTGGATTCTACTCCGTAACCTGGTACGGATCAACGTTAATAACAAATTCTCAATTGCTACCATAAAAATTCTAAGCCCACTCTTATTTGGCAGGGATAAAAACCCTATAACCTATTCAGGTAATATTATGGAGCCTCCTGTGAGCTCACCGGTGAACTCACCGGTGAACTCACTGTGAACTCACTGTGAACTCACCTTTAGTGCAGATGCCTGCCCAAAAAGCACTAATGGCACATCCTCTATAGGATCAATCACCAAGGTTCATAGTTGAGTTCCTGATGGACCACATGTACGGCAAATTATATGAATCTACAACAACGGCTAACTTAAGTAGTTACAACGAATTAGAAATCTTCAAGTATGTCAACAGCTTTGACCGGATTTCACCCTTCTCCATTATGCGCTTATCCCATCCATCGATTCAAACTTACATACCGGTTACAGATATTGCTAGATTCAATGAGATCGATGAACACTATAAACGGAACGGACGTCAGTGTGGTATTTGTGGCAACTGGAAGATAAACGTACGTGATCACATCTTAGCCCAGCATACTGGGTCGACGTATGCCCTGGTATGGATAGCTTTACTTACCTGTATATAAGACATCTATTACTAACGAAAAAGAAAGATTTCAAATGGGGAAGCCACGCGAGATAAACGCAGGAGTCTGCCGCAACGACGGAAAAATCAGAAGCTAAAGACGATTTTTCCACCCGAGGTATTGGATCTCGTCCGTGACATGAATAACTCGCTGCCTCCCAAGATTCGGCATTCAGGCGGGCGATTTCTCAAAGGGCCATTGCAAGGCCAAGAAGTTGCAGGCCTGCCCCATTTCTTTGAAAAGTCCTCTGGTAGACTGAAGTACTGCTACATGGATCTCGTAAAGAAGCCAGAAATGAGCCCCAAACCCCGCGCGGTGTTCAAGAGAACCTGCAACATGTCGCCTGCGGAGCCATTTCCCAATACATCATGGTTCAGAGGCTCAGGCCTTCATGTTGTTACCGCAATAACGACTAACGTTTGGACACCGGACAAATATCCAGACTGGACTGGGCCGCCTGGATTTCTTGCCGGTAAAGATCCGACCTGGATTCCTAAAGGTATGCGCCAGTGTGCTTTTTGCAATCTATCAGTATGTGATTGCATTCATACGAAAGTTCGTCATGATGTGCCATGCATCAGGAAAACGGCAAACATGGGCGAAGGAGCTTTGGCAAGAACAGACTACGAGAAAGATGAGTTTTTGGGTGAGCTAGTAGGTGAATTGGCCCCAATTGGCTACTATACCGATGGATGGGCAGCCGATCTCTCCCGGGATGACCTTTCTCCAGACAGGAAGGAGGTCGCATGGTGTCAAGTCTATCCCCGCTACATGGGAAACTGGGTGCGCAAAGTTAACCACTCTTGCGAATCTAACTGCGTATTTGAATCGTGGAACATCTCTGGACGATGGCGCGTGATGCTACGAGCAACTTGTCAAATCAAGCGCGACAGCTGGATTCTTGTCAACTACGGAGAGGAGTATTGGCAGGAGAATCACCGATGTCTTTGTGGCAGCAATTACTGTGTGAGTGATCGGGATTTTAGCACAAGGAGAACACAGGAAACTCAAGAAGAGATGCCAGCTCCAGGTAGTAAGGTGTCACCTTGTTAACAAAGACTGTGCAACGACGTCCCTCGGTCCCTCTGTGAGATGTGAAATTGTTTGAAATTAACATAGAGCTGTGCATTAGTGTGGAAAGAAAGATGCTGGATCACGTTCCGCATGATAGTCAGATAAGCAGGGCGGCATTGCAATAGTTACGGGCTATCCCTGTGAAAGAGGGATAATGAGGCTACCCATAAGCTTCACACTGTTTCCAGTTTTACTGCTTTGTACTTTCTATTCATAGCTTCATCATGTAGACGTAGTTTTGCATGCATCATCAAACCGAGTCTTCCTTGTTAATATCTGAATGGCCAGGCAGCGGCCTGACACCAGTAGCTGCTAAGAACTTTCTAGTGTCGACCAACATTTGCTTAACGAAATTGGGGACACCGAATTCCAAGATGTATGATAAAGATAATAGAAAGAATAGCCATTGCAGGCACCAAAGTACACTCAAATAAATAGCCATGGCACGACAATGCCTGGCGAGGCTCATGGACCCATCTTCCTCAAGCTGAGTCGACCATTTCCAGCTGACAAAAGCCACATGTATGGAGATGATGGTCAGAGCCTCAGCGAGTAGACCAACAGAACAGGAGATCAGTCCACGTGTCAAGGGTGACAACTCTTTCCTGATGCTATAAAAAGGGAGGATACCCCAGGGAACGACAAGGAAGAAGATTGCGTGAAATACAAAACACAAAAGCGCCCCCTGATAGTCGGGCAAGTGCTCATCAGACAAAGCTGTTGACAGTCGCTGTCCGATAAACCATGTGAAGTATGCTGCTGCGCCGGGAATGCCAGGAAAGACACTCAGCAACACAGCCATCTCGATGAGGAAAAGAGTGCTACGAATTGTGTACTCGGCAATGATGATGAGGCTCATAGTGACCAAATTTTGACTCGTTTGAATGTTACATAAGACGATGAACCGTTAAGGATGCTGGCGAAGTCGCGAGGTCGATTGGGACAGGCCAGTATTAAGTCTTTAGTATGTTATCAGGTCTGCTAGACACATATGCTTTACTCCTGTGGTATAAAGCCTTTGTCACAAGGATGGAACGCCTTGGATTCTTCTGCCCGCTCTATGCTGACCACGCTAGGTTTCCCAGCCATGTTTGTTTATTTCACAGAACTAGCAAATGCGAGCTCAAAGGTAAGTTTCTAGACTTGATGTTGTGATTTTGCCAAAGCCTGGCAGCACTGTTCGCGGCCTGTCGGAATTATTTACGCCACGTTGGGAGCCGAGATACAGTTGCGGACTTGAAAGTGAAACAAAAATTCCAAATGCTGTCACGGCCAGGGGGGGATGTAGAGGACACGCAATCGGCACTTCACACTCCAACAGTTTGGGATCTAATTGAGGTTCGTGAACTCAAAGTGGAGAATGGATGGCGTTATGGCTCGTCATACGGAGTAAAGTGAGTCCGCAAGGGTTTGTTGGCATTTGTGACGCACAGAAATACCCAATCGAAGTAGCCAATCGAAGGTGAATAATCTCTAACCCTAGTGGCTGTGGCTATCATCTGAAATTCCCTCTTCGGGTATAGAAGCTGCGGGGAGCCGGCCGGCTCAAAGGAGCTTTCTGGATCCAGCTAGCCAGCGTCGGTGACGTATTCTCATTTGAGTAATGATTGCGAGCCTCCCCTCAAGCGAGAGACCCACAAGACCCGACACCCTAGCATCCTAATAAGCTGACCGCTTTTTTCAAGAATGAGCTTGTTTTCGGGATCAGTTGGCCTCAATCGCTGGTGGAGGCATCTTGAAGGCCATTAGAAATTCTGTCATCTTGATCCGCAAATTTTTTCACACTAGCCTGCTTATTATTCATACCGGTAGCCGCGGGATCATTAAGGGCTAACTTTGCCTTCCGACTTTTAGTCTAAAACTCAACCCTAACAAGAATGATCTTCAATCAAGACTTGAAAAAGCTAGACTCGATACGGAGTAGCCATGTTACTGTGTGCCGTGGTTTTGCCTTGTAATACCGATCGGCAAGGTCTGCGAATTGGTAGTCATACTGGAGCTTTCTGACGTTGTAGTCGGACCTCTGCTCTTTCCCGTCAGAGACAACAGCGTTCACGATCAAGCGTCATATCTTTTGCCGCACTAAGCTCTGAAATGATAAATGGTACTTACAGATTTCACAAAAACCGGGCTCAGTTTTCTGCTGTCTTTGGAATCCGGCTAAGAATTTAGGTAAGGGCCTCGCTGACCATTGTAGGGTAATCGACACAACGGTTGCCAGATAGCAGCCGATCGAAACGTTCCTTCAATTTTTCTGACACATTTTTCTCTACCCTTTTTTAAACTTCTCTCTTTCCTTTTCATAAGAGTATGACTCGAAGCCTAAAGCAAGGTTTTGAAGAGACTACCGATCAAAGCCCAAGGTCCTTCTTCAAAGCCGGAAGAACTGTGACATCATTCCAATTCCAAATTAAACCGCTATTATGTCCAGCAAAGGCAGCACCCGTCCAGTAAGTATTTAGGAAGCCCTCAAGCTCGAGAAGCTTACTATAGAAGCCTTTCGCAATCTCATCACTAGTTACATGAAGATTGTAAGGAACATGGTTGGAGATGTAAGGGAAGGTAACTCTCCTCGCCGTGTCAGCGGCTACAGCACCTGCTCGCGTGAGTGCAGTAAGCTCATCACGAACGAGACTTTTACTATCAGGAATAGTGTAATCGGTGTTGTCGAAGGCAATTCCGAGGAGGAACTGATTCGGAGAGCCAGAAGATATATAGCCGTTACTTCCAGGTATTATTGGAGTCTTGGCAGGTGACATAGTACCAACGTTTTGTAGGCTCACATTGAGGCCAGGGATATCTGCAACGCCTGCAACATAGCCGAAAGCGGAAAATTTGGACAGCAATTTTCGCTCCGTCTCGGAGAGATCAAAAGACTTCAGGTTCGCAATTGTTTGAGGGACAGCAACCACGAGCTTCTTCGTCTTGATGTTGAAAGTCTTTCGGTTCTGTTGAATGGTCAAAGTAGCGCCTGCTTTATTTCGTCGAACCCTGACGAGGTCCGAATTCAGATAGATATCCTTCCCAAGCACGTCGGAGGCGGCCTTGTAGATGCTTCGAGTATCCCCTGACGCGGTAACGAGGAATTCGCTAGAAACAGACTGCAAAAGCCCCGGTCCAAACTTCTTGATTCCATAAAGAGTAGGAATGGTTGTAATGTTTCCAGGGTACCAGTTAAGCTGACTGATGAGAGGAAGGATGGCACTGAAATTGTTCTGCTGCGCAAACTGCCCGAAAGGCAGCAGAAGCTCTTGGGGTACAGGATAGGGAACTCGATAACCTTGGTCAATCCAGGGATATTTGCTAAGGATATTCTGAGAGTAAGTCTTTATTGCTGCAGTCATGGCTCTTTTTGTGGCAACAGCCTCCGATCTGTTCTCGGCAGGGACTGCGACACCCAAAGAAAAGTCGTACATCTGAGTTGAGGAGGTCGCTTTGAACGGATTGTGCTTTGCTACAGCAACTCCAAGACGCGACAAGTACTTTTTCACAGTCTCGGTATTTTCGAAAAGCACAACACCAATGTTGGCAGGGACTTTTGTTTTGGGGTTGACGTATGTCTCAGCATGTCCTCCGATCTGACTTCTCTTCTCAATTACGGCAACCGTTGCGCCTGCATCTTTGAGACTGATCGCTGCATGTATGCCGGATGAGCCACCGCCGATAATAGCTACATCCACATGGACATTATGGGCTATAGCCATAACATTTTGAGTAGATAGGCAGGACGCCAAAGCAAAGATATAGATACAGAACTTCATGGTAAGAAAGTGATTGAAAATCAAATAAGCTTATTTATCAAACTCTTTCCGAACCGCGATTTTATAAAGCTTGAATGGAACGTATGTCACCGTCATCAGCGGGTCAACTTATTAGTTATGATCGCGGTGAAGCTTTTAGAATGGAGTATGGTGTTATGTCTCTGCAGCTGTGCCCCCTTGTCATTGCCAGTTTATGCTGGCCTCGATTTGTAATCTTGAATCCGTCCCACACTGTGAAAGGGCCCTATCATCCCTTGCAAAGAAGTGAAATATGGCCAATGGCTAAGCTGATCAATCATTTTGATGTTGGCTAGATGAACAGGCATTCATGCTCCCTGTCCCTCATCAAACACTTGCAGATTCGAATCGACCATTGGACCCAGCGAACTTCACGACTTGCCAGTATGGGCCTTGAATGAACATGTAGAAGCTTTTCATCACTCCACGGTGGTCCCAATTGAGAGACCTGTCTGCCTTATTGGTAGAGAAGGCCTGTAGTCAGAGGCAAGCTCCGATACAAACGCCTACTCTCTGAAGTCATTAATGTACATCATAACTTCTTATCTATACCTTGATTGCAGCTGCAAGATTATTCCAAGGACCCTCACTATTATGTCTCGTAGTTATGTTTTAAACGAGATCTCATTCACCGCCATCAGCGTGGGGCTTATTTGTAACTCACAAACAGGTATTAGCCACGAAGAGAAAAGAAGAAAACAATGAAAGAATGTGATAGCCTTTCTGGCAATGTGATGGTTTCAGATGCATACCATGTTCTCCAATTGCCACTTCAAAAAATCACCAAGGTCATGCCCCAGGTTATACCCCATCGGCACCGTATCCGAGATGCCGCCTTCAACATCGTCCATACGAACCACGAGCTCCATCATCGGGCTGGGTGGTAAGCTTTCCTCCGAACTGTGGAAAGAAGGCCGTTTGGAGCCTCCTTCTCCGACCCATCTCTTTAACCCTGTACTGCTAAAGAATTTAGCTTTGTCGAAAGCCTGACCGGGCGCCGGTGCGTTCCAGAATCCGGAAGGGAACTCAGCGCTAACTGGAATAGGAAGGCTGGCTTCATTATCGATGGCTGGATGTGCCGATGACTGAGTACTATGTGGCGATAATCGCGTTGACGGCCATGGGGCAAACACTCCCTCGGCCACGTCTTCGGTTATCAGCTCACCGTACGTCTCGAAGCCAAATGTATCGAACCACAGCGTAATATCCTCTGCCTGCCGTATGTCTACTTCGCAGGAGGTGTCTTGAAATAGCTCTCCAGCTCCTCCAAGAATGGCCATTTGGAATGCTGTCCAGTCTAATGTGTCGTCCGTCGTCTTGGCTCCTCTATCCAGCCTAGCGAGGGATAAAGTAATTAATCCATGGCGGAAAGAGGGTTGCGTCAGCGTATATGGTGTGCTCTTGAGGTAAATGAATTTATCCTTCTCTTTTGTCCTCATGTGGGTGCTATCGAAGGTAACGTCGTCGTCCAGCGACTCAATTTGTGTCTTATCTGCTGGGGTCACCATGATCTCCGGCAACGGTGGAGGTGTCTGAACAACCTTTCCAAATAAGCGCGCAGGATTCCTAGGAGGTAATTGTAGCGGATTATCTGGAGAAGCTTCACTTATATCATTGATGCCCATGATACACTCATCATCACTCGCCACAGGATCCCGTTTCGAAATGTTCCAAGAAGCAATCTTCGAAACAGCAACCAGATCTATTTTATCAGTCGCTATCTCGACGGGAATCGCTGACTTCTCCAGAGCCTCTCTTGCTGCAGCCGGAGATACTAGTTTGTGGGGATGGAGTGGTTCGATGCCTGTCTCGGCGTTCTCTGATGTACCACTGCACAGTGGGCTGATCGCGCATTTGCTTCTTGTAGATTCTTTATCTAGTTGTTGGTCAACTTCTTGTTTGTCGAGTTGCGCTGCGGTACGGTAGGGCGTCAGGACATCATCAACTTCAATGCGCCTCAAGTACTGGGGTTCAAGAACAGCCGCCGCATTCTCCGACAATGCCCATTGCGGGGCATCTACCACAGCCATGGAAACGGGATGCCCGGTAAGATTGTGTTTCTTTCTTTCGGGCCTTTTCACAACCGATGTTCATCTGTTTAGCGATGACTGTTGAGAAGAGGTTTAGGACGATTCTCTCACCCTCACTCACGTATTTTCGGCGTGGGCATGGATGTACTATGTAGATTTAGAGTGTTTGCGACTCCTAGGAATGATTTCCGGTCGTGATGGTTGAAGAGGTGGGACAAAACCCTGCTACGCACAACAGCATGATGATATGATCTCTTTGTGCAGACCCCAGAAACTTGAACCTTCATATGTCTCATAATAGTGATGGCCAAGAACACATGTCAGATGATTGCGTGGTTTGCCGGCCGATTAGCTCGACAAAATAAGGCCAATATCACCTCGTGGGGTGTAAACGCTGTGACTGATAGGGCTTAGAGGCAGTGGGGGAGATCTAAAATCATATGTCGACCAAAAAAGAACATTCATGTAACTACAGAACAGTTCCGTTTTGAGTCCATTCCACTACCTTCCAGGCCACGTTAGTTGAAATCATGAATTCGATGAAATGAGCGAGGATCTCCACAGTTCTACCCCACCTCCATTTCACAAATGCAAATGCCTTTCTTCTCTTTCGTTCGTGTCGCCCAAGGCTGTGCCCAAAGTAAAAGCCTAACATTTTATTCCCCAGCTTGGCTTGGATATTTTGACGCGAAAAAAGTCATTTCAGATACTCCTTAGCGTCTTTCATACAGTTTAAGAAGTAGACGGGAGAATAAGTGCATCTTCATCAAGGATGGGATACGAGATTCTGACACATCGACAACAATCAGCGCCAAAGAACTGAACATTGGTTGGACTATGACGTCCCGTAATTAGATACAGCATGGGATTTAGCTTTAGATACTGGTACTGTGGACTTTCTCAATCAGTATGCCAGTCGCAAGAGCTCTACTAGAGTGAAATCTTGGATATTGGACCTCCATCTAGACATATGTTCACTTTTGTGCCTTGATCGGTACTAAAATTAGTTCGGTGAGAAGAGAAGTAGGTTTGGCAGTTTCGGAGAGAATTAACGACAGCAAAGAAATGTCTGGTGGAGCTCATGAACCTGGTCGGGTGCTGGATTGCAGACTGGTCTATTGTAGTTTATGTCTATGGCTTTGTTTACTTCTATTAATAAATCAAAACCCATGCAATCATAGGGATAAGACAATGGCTTAATATTGTCCTTGCATCGAAATTTATTATAAACCTCTCTAAGTTCCCCAAGGCAAAGAGATTTTATTACCAGGCTTTGAAACCATCATGCTGCTTAACGATTTTAAATATACCGGGTATCTATTGGCATTTGCTCTCATCACATATGCTATCGAATATACCTGTCGAAAGCTGCTCTTCTTCTTTCGCCTTGCTCTAGTCTTTGCATCATTCGCTGTCATGACAAAACAAAGGCCAGCCACACAACAGATAAAGCGGTGGCTCGAAACCGCAGGTGTCGAGGAAATACCACGAATGGCAATTTTCAAGGATATACAAAAAGCAGCAACGACGGGACTGCAGGCTGTCACTATGCTTTTCGAACGAGGTGGCGCGCAGGATACCAGCATCAAGCGTGACTAGGGATCTCGTTCACCAGGAGTTCTTGGTCGTTCTGAAGATCGTTATTGTTTTCCTTGAAAGCAGTCGGAAACGAAATCATGACCAGACAGTCACTCTTGAGCTGATTCTTGTAAAACTTCGAGCGTTTACTCGATTTGCTTCGGGTGACATGGTCTAGAACATGAATACGTCTCAGATTTTGAGCACATGTAATCGAGAACATGACCCATGCCGAGACTTCCTAGCATTTGGATCAGCTTCAACTTCTGCTACGTAAGAGTCGAGCGCAGGAGTTGGCTTCTCCATGATAAGAAATGTGATCAAGGCACACTCAGTGATAATAGATCAGTTTCGTGGAGCAGTTATATACTACGCAATAGCAGGCAGCTCATCATTTCGTGATTTGCCCCTTTCAGTTGAGGATAGCGGAGCGATTGAACTAAGTCCATCCACATTGAGTCCATATTACTTTGAGATAGTTTCACGATCCATGCATTCAATTCCCTTCGCTGACTGGCTCCATTTTTCGACTTCAAGTTCGTGATCTTCTGTCTCCATTGGCCTGATGTAGCCACTTTATGTTATCTACATTAAAAGAACCTTCCGTTTGTGCCTGGCCAGGATGGATTCCGTTAAATTGCTGCTGGCTGTCCGTATATGCCAGTTGCTCCGATGGCATTTCTTCCCGAAACCCAAATTCTTTACAACGGAGAGTTGAAGATAATTCCACGTGATCCAGAACAAGATGATCGGCATCTCGCTAAGGCTCCTGACTGCTATCAAGCAACTGGCAATGTTCGGAACTTGACTTGACAGTGGCTGAAGATACTGAATTCTCATTGATATCCTTTACCCTCGAGTCTTCGCTAGACACTTGGGATTTAGTGACACTGTCCGGCGGCGCCATCCTATGGCTGACGTCTGAGTGGAATTTGATGCCACGGGGTTGCATTGTGCTGTTATCTATTTTGAGATACCGGCGCTCTCTTCGAAGCCATGCGGCAGGGTCGATTATAAAAGTGCTCATCACTCTAGATTGAAATTCAAGAACGATATCACTTTCGTTCTTGGAAGGCTCGCCGTGAGTTGGCGTGTCGTGATCTATAACGCTCAGGGACTCTCTTTCGTCAGCTTCTATAGCAATTGCAGTGTAAGAAAGCTGCTGTCTAGCGAATCTTAAATGACTGGATGTTACAGGTCAGATTCTAGCTTCCACTACTTAGAGCAAATACAAAGGACCAGCACCTTTCTGTTACTTAAGTATCCTTGTAGCCAAGCATTTCACAGGTAGAGCTGACATTTTAAGCAAAGACCGACATTTCACAACTAGTGTGGACTTTGAGCCTTTCAATATGCGCAACTAAATGCCTAGACAGCCAAGCACTCTGTAGATCATGCAATAGCCCTTGTGCTAATCTAGATCACCTTATCCAGTTGCCATCCTAAACCCGTTTAACTGCCCCCCGCCCCTCGGGTGGGGACGAACACGAGCACTTCGACAGACATCATGTATCAAACGTTGACGTAATGTTCACAAGCTCGCTTCCTGTCATTCTTGGTTTCAGCATTCTTGGTGGCGCGAGTAAGAAAGTTTCTAGGAAGTCGATGACAAATGTTCAGAATAAAAGAAGAGTACCCTGTAGACTCCGATTCACTGCATCAACTGGTACCAGAGCATAATATTGCGTGGGTGATACTTGCAGAATACCGGTGCCAAAAGCTATTGATACTACTACAGGATCAAAATTGGGTACTAATGCATCACAGGCTTTATCCTTCACGAGAATTCTCTCTTGAGCAGCCGATATACCGATCCTTCGCCCTCGGTGCGATTCCAGCTGTACCTCTGGAAAGCTGCAAAAACCTGTGCTAGGGTGTGAATCAGTACGTGTTTGAGAATTGAGCACCCTCTCCGCTTTTGTGGATTTTACCTGTGGAGACGGGATGCAAATCGCAGATACTGCCAAAAAGTCATGTGCTACATATGAAACAAAAGGCTTCCCATTTTGTTCAGGTAACATTGACCGAAAAAGGTCCAAAAAAGCGTCGCGCCAGTATTCTCGTATAGGTATTCCCACAAACGGCTCTCGCCACCTCGAGGTCGACGTGCGAACGACTAGTAATACCCAAGTCAGCTTAAAAGCAGCCTCTGATCGACCTGACGGAAAGATTCACCAAGCTTCACGCGTCCGGCAAGGGAAACTCGGATTTCATCAAGCTCAGACCGAATCGGCAACTGAGAAAGATGATGAAACCCATCGATGATCTGACAGGTCAGCTGTTAGTGATAGGCATTTAGGGTCCTGCCTGATCCTACCTGAGAAGTTGCGCTCGCTAACTCTACCTCTGTTAGCGGCAATAAATCGGCAAGCGCAAGCTCCAGGTATTCTTCTACCAAAACGCAACCCGCAATGGATCCATAGATCGAGTATATCGTAGCTATATCTGGATGAATAATATACGTGATATCAGTGAAATCGTGAATTGGGGCACAACGCTTTACACGCAACGCTCCATTTCTTCGGTGCCGTATTAGCGAGAATGTAGGACCAAGAGTTTCGCTTTCATTTGAGATATAATCATCTTCAATTCTTTTCTCCAACTTCACCATCACTATTTGCTTCACTGCTGAAAGTCGGAGCATCTCGACACCCATGGTTTTATGGTCTAAAGTAGCGCCCGTAATGATTTTCTGGAAAGCTTTTCCCAGTTTCGGTGAGACGGCTTATAAAGATACCTACAGGCAGAAAGCCTCCTGGTAACGACTGATCAGAGGGAGAGAGTTCAGGTCAATATGTCCAAGATTCCTAAGAGAAGTTCATCAAAGCTCCTCACTCACCTATATACAGTAGAACGACCAAGCTACATCCAAGAGTACTAGCTAGCCAGTTTCATACAGAAATACTTCCAGCAGTATATGCAATGAGAAAGGAATCTGATTCTGTTACCACAGGAGACGTCTATGGTGACGATATGTTCGTTTCTTAGGCAAATCAAGGACTCGAACTAAGTTCCTTCATGATTGTATGATATACATATGACGACGTTAAGTGTATCGTCATGGCATTGATTTGGGAACCGTGAAGAGGATGAGCGTCAATTGCGGGGATTCAATCACCAATTTTCACAAAAGAAAACGACCCATGCAAACCCGATACATCCTTCTACGAGCTTTTGGGGCCCCAATGGCTTTTTCCTTACCCAACATCTTACAGTGCCCACTATGCTAAAGAATTTCTAAAAGAGTATCAAAGATCATATTCGCGGTGCCTCCCCTGCCCCTCAAGATTATACAACCAATCTCTCCAAAAACTCCGGTCTGTCATCAAGGATCCTCCTAATCAGTCATAGTTGGTTACATAGGCCTTGATTTGTAGGCTCACTTTAGCTTTTGTTGAGCCTGTAATACAGGATTGCATATACCTCAGTGACATCCAGACCATAAACAGCTGCCTCACCCTACACGCCTCAAAACTAAGGCCACTTAAGGTCATGGCTTTGACTGGACAGTTGTCACTCCTCAACTAACAGTGCCTGTGACCGGCAGAGAAACGTCAGCCGTGCTTTGTGGTATACCCTCTTTGTGAAATTCAGACATATTCACGCTGTCTGATTCCGATAAGCGTCTGTGTGGAAGCCACACTTTGTTAACGTAACGTTATATAGTCGATATTATAAAAGAAACTGACTAGTGTTGGTCGCTACATATATTATGTATAACGAATCAGCCTCTATGAAAACTATAAAAGGCAATCTCTCTTAATATGCTAGAGACTGTGAGATCAGAAACGCCAGGTTACGTAATAGCCACTCAATGCCTACTAGCACTTCTGACTAGTCATTCAACTGTCTTCTGACAAGATTATTTCACTCCAGCAATGGCGTCGAATGATCTGGACGAAAACATGGGGCGTGATCCAGACTCTATGATCTTGCGCAGGGCTCACTTTACCCATGAGCTCGAAGCAAAGAAGAAGCTCAATTCCACTTTGTTAACTAGCTTCCCTGCCATAGGTGGCCTACTTGTTGGCTATGATTTTGGCTGCATCAATGGACTTCTGCGGTTCGAACCCTTCATTGACGCAATTGAGGGCTCTAGAACAGTGGAAATGTCTAGAAACAATGTGGCTCTTATTGTTTCCCTACTCTTCTGCGGTTGTATTATCGGGGCCATTGCCGGTGGTGCTCTTGGCGATCGACTGGGTCGTAAGTGGCTCATTCAGCTTAGCTGTGCTGTCTACGTCTCGGGTGTTTTCTTTCAAATTTCGTTTGATTTATATGATGCCGCCTTCATACTGGTCCTTATTGGCCGCCTGATCGGTGGGATCGGCACCGGTCTCAATTATGTTGGGACTCTGCTATACATGACAGAAACAGTAAGTATTTTGGTCCTATCCAATTGCTATTGTTCTAGAATAAGTTCAACTTGAATAGCAACTCATGAAAGACTTCTACTCGCAGTACGATTGGCCTCACTCCTTTACTGATCTCTCTAACAGTGTCATTCTTCCCTCCGAGGGTTCTCACTTGCCGCATATCAAGGATGTGTTGCTTTAGGCCTACTGATAGCCGCCTTGAATGTCTATGCAGTTGATAAGCGTACCGACATATCTGCCTACAGATGGCTTGTTGGGTGTCAATTTATCTGGCCTGCAGTTTTGGCGACAGCCGTTTCTATGATCCCCGAATCGCCACGTCATTTGGTAAACATAGGTCGCAATGAAGAGGCCTACAGGGCTTTAATTCGTCTGCGGGCTCCACGGTCGCGGGACAAGTCAGATATCCGGCGCATACAGATGGAGCTGAGTGAAATCTATCTCAGCCACGAGGTTGGCTTAGGTCCAGAGAAAGTCGCTTTTCGAAAGGTTGCAAAGGAATGGCTTGGCGCACGTTCAGCCAACTTAGTGGTGCACCCGTTGACTGTCAGTATCCTTCTACAAACTATGTATCAGTGGTGAGTTGTCACAGTGAAATCCTTGGACTTAGCAATTCACTGACACGTCTATTTCTTATGTAACAGCACAGGCGTAAGCTTCGTCACACTCTCAGCAACCTCGCTGGCTAGAACTGATGAAGCTCTATGTGACCCACTTGTGATCGCCCTTGTGCTTTCGATTGTCCAGCTTTGTGGCACACCTGTGTACATGTGGTCATTCAAGAAGTTCGGTCAACGATGGACGCTTATTGTTAGCGCATTGGCTATCTCGACTTGCCACCTTCTCACTGCCATTGCCGGTATGGCAGCCAGTGTCACTGACAAAAGCTTGGTGGTCGGTCGTGTCCAACTCGTTCTTGTTTCCCTGTTCGTTTTGCTGGTCGCATCGAGCTGGGTCCCTGCAGTGTGGATCATTATTGGTGAAATTCCTTGCACCGCCACGAGATCCCGTGACATTGGGATTTCCGCCGGGGTTCACTGGCTATGGACCGGCGTCATTTCCGCCACCACGCCATACCTTGTTGAGGTCGAGTGGTTGAGGCGATCTGGCATCTTTTTTATATTTGCATGCCTATGTCTATGTAGCTCGTTGTTTGTGTACTTTCTTGTCCCTGAGACGAGTAAACTATTCCTTGAGTATATTGAGGTGATAGTTCGGGAATCTGATCCCCGCACTATGCAAGAGTGGAGGCCTGATGTTACTTTCGGTTGGCGGAGAGATCCTAGAACTGAAATGCAGTATTGCCGAGTGCCCCGAATCCGGAGACGCTGGCAATCACACACAAAGGAAAATGCTAGTGACATGTTAGAGTAGGAGATGTAGTGTCAATGTCTACGTTTGAGTACCACCCGTTATTATCATCAACAACAGCAAAGTAGTATCCCGGTCTTCCTTGCCTTTACATACTAGCGTCACACGTTATGTCCATCAGATAGGCTGAAAGGCTTATGTTACGCAATTGTATGAGCTGGTGTATTGCCTGAACTGACGTTATAAGAATGTTGTTTTGAGTTTATAGGCCAGACAGCTGATGCTCGCATCACGCGCCTCGCACCCTAACATTTAAGTCCGATGGCCATGAATCTTTGTAACAACAGAAATCTCGACAAATATCTTTAGTTTAGAGAAAGGTTCTACAGAGAAATCTTTGACGAAAGATAGACACTGGGACATCTGGCTATCGGATGATAGTACTTAGACATAAGTAAGGAAGAATGAAGGAATAATTGGACACGGTTTCCTGGAGGCCCAGACTTGATGATAAACGAGCGCTAACCTCGCCCGCCACACAATGACATTGTGGCCCCTCTGTGAGGATGAACTTTCCATCCTTAACAGCCAGTATCGAACAAGGGGTTGTATGAGACTCTGAAATAGGTTGGGAGACAAATCCTCGCTTTTTCGGCTCAACATTCGGCTTTTTGTTCCTTTATGGGCATCATACTTCAAACATTGCTCTTTTGCATACTTATTTCTCAGCTCATATTTGCCAAATCTGATAATAAACGGTGCGAAAGCGTCTTCTGTGTTATGCCTGGGGCAAAGGATTAGAATAACTAGGTAAAGGATAACTAATTATAGGATTACCGGTCTTTCTGGTCTTTCGTCTTTTCTTTACTTTGCTGTAAGGCTTTGTGAAGACGGCCGGTAAGGAGTCAATACGACTGAGTTCTCGAACTGCGACGGCCAGAAGTATAGACAAAATCAGTAAAGAGGCGTAAAATACAGATCCATATGAAACTGTACTTGTTCCTGCCGCAAAAGAGAAACGTTTCACATCATTCCGTCCTACGACCATACAAATAATTATAGATATTGCCTCTGTCGCAGACAAGAGCCATAGCCCCCATATCACACCAGTGCTACCGGGAACTATCCAAAGTAGGAACCACCAAGCGCTACAGCTCGTGATCAGGATAATGAATAGCCACTTAGTAGCGATGGCTATTCCCTCTGTCTGTTTATAGGAATGGCCATTGTCTGGTGTCGTTAGTTCTATACTAGTGAGGGGCTTGCGGGTTGCGTCTCCATTGATTGAAAAGATGCCAGTCCCGTCAACATGTATGCACAGCAGCTGTTGCAAGTTGAAGCCGGGGTTTATGTCCTTGGTTTCCGCCGTTACGTTTACGAATGGAAACGCTGCGTTGCTTGTAACCTGACGCATCACTTAGTATTCATGCATCACAAACGATCAGGGTAAGATACATTCAAGAAAGAGCAGTGGGACATGTCCAATGGACTTGGGGGAACCAGTAGGATCAATGGAACAATTAGGAAGAACCATGTCAGAAAGTAGCCTGGAAGGAGTGTCATGTATCAAATTGCGAGGGACCTTTCGCGCTATGTTGAATTAACCCAGGTGGATAGAAAGTTGGAGAGGACGAGTTCGAAGCTCAAGTCTATAAGTAGTTTCTCCTCCACGCTGATCTCACTGATCAGCCACTGAATGCCGATAATAATTGGAGTCATGGCTCATTTCAATCAGGTCAATGTAAGCACTTGATGAATCTAAAGTAGCTAAGATAGATCATAGCACTAGTTTAATCACACTGGAGCCTTAAACGAGACAGGAAGGCAGATTTTCATGAACGAACGGCTTTGCTTGATATATTCCTTGACTCTTACATCGGTATCAGATCGCAGCCATGGCTTGTGTTCGACATTGGAGGTTTTACTTCGAAAGCCAATCGCCGATGAATTAGTTGGAGGATAGCATTCCTCGCCTAATTGGCTAGACTCGAGGGAAGGTTATAACCAGATGATAGAAATTTATCTTATTTGAGTGAAAGGTGTCGTCTAAATATAGAAGAACGTCCTTTTGGGATGTCGTACCATTTGGGCATGGTACGATCCCGACCTGCATTATACCGTAGGCCGCTGCGTGCGGAGATGTCCTCCACTGACTATCTGGGCTAGAAAGGGTGAAAGCCAGTTTCACGTATGCGCCCCCCCCCCCCCCCCTGGTTTCGAGGGCTGGAACAGACATCACATCATGTTACAAGCCGTTACGATACTATCAGCCGCCCTCGACTTCGACATTTTTGCCCAGAGCTTCACGGAGAACTGGTCTAAAGAAGGACACAACGTGCTCATACTGCAGCAACAGTATTTCCATGATATCCTCTTTTCACTTTCATGTCCCAGAGAATTAGCGCACCACAGAAAAGGCAGATTGCACCACTCGAGGAGATTATATAGAGAAGAGAAGAGATGGCTTGAGTTGTTGCGGCCGCCCCATATGCAGTTATGTTCGTCTCAGCGCCCTCCCAGACGGTTGGCGAAACGCCAGCGAGAACCTCGCGAATGGTCTCATCATCGTAATGAAACGCTTCGAGATTAGAAGGGAAAAGAGCCATGCCGCGGTTTTCGTAGATAGCGCCTGCCATAATCAATGCAGTGGAAATACCGCCCATTAAGCTCATGTTCAAAAGGGCGGCACTGCCGACTCGATCTCGCAGAGTTTTGTTGATCGTGTTAGAGATCGCGTTGCCATGCTGAAATTGAAAGCCAAGTCCTACACCGATTAGGGCGGTGAGGCCCATAACCTTATTGTCTGAGATGTCAGGGTCCAGGGCTATGGCGAGGGCAGTTCCCGACGCCAGTGTCGTAGCACCGCCAACAACATAGATCACGCCATACTGTTTGATCTTGGATAGAAAAGCGCCAACGATTAACACTGTGACAATGAAGGTGAGAATAAAAGGCAGCATACGAACGGTTTGTTGCAACGCTCCGTGACCTTTTGAAAAAGCGTAAAACAGTGGCAGGTAATAGAGTGTGATAGCATAAGTCGCACCTGCACACCCTGACACGATCCAAAGAGGTAGGATGTTCCGCCTGGCCATAAGTTCAATGGGAATCACCCGACGGTCGGGCACGCTTTTGAAAGTTGTGTTGAGACGGTCCTTGATGGCGGCGGTAAAACGAGTACAATGTAGAGCCCCGCAGAGGACAAAGGCCGCAGCGAAAACAGCCCATGTTGTATAACAAGGCACTGAACTCCAGCTCCAGACGGGCCCAGAAAAAGTAGCCGCAATAGCAAAGAGAACAATTGTCGCTACCGTGGTGCTTGTTTGAAGAATGACATTCAAACCGGCGAATTTGGCAATGCGATGACGCAAAGGAAGATCGAAGTGGCTTCGTCTGTGTGGCAAAAAGATTACTCCACAAACGAAGGCAAAGCCAAGGAAAGGCAAGTTGATATAGAAAGCCCAGCGCCAAGTCACCTTTTCAGCCAGAGCGCTGCCGATAGGCCCGCCTATGACGAGGCCAACTGCCCATAGTGAACTCAGAATGCCGTAAAGCAACGGACCTTGGTTATCTGAAGCATACATAGAAAAGTACGATATCGCGCTGAATTTCTTGAAATTAGCGTATAAGCACATTGAGTTTGTAGTAGAATTCAGTGGCTGAGTAAATACACCTTTCCGTGGGCGGATGAAGCGGTGTGAGAGCTAAGTAAGTTCACACTCACCAGTTCTGGCATATAGATCCCCCTATTCCCATTACCGCTCGGCCGGCGATGATAGCCGAAATGGTCTCTGCTGAGCCCGCTAGCGCTGCCCCGGCCGCGAAAACCACGACGCATACCAAGTAAACGTGGCGTATATCAAAGATGTCCAGTATTCGGCCTGCAAAAGAGAGGGTGGCGAAGTTCGCGAGAGAGTAAGACAGCCCAATCCATGGAAGATACTCGATGTGGCCGAAGGCGACATAAAGCTGTGGCTGGATATTCGCAACGTTGCTTACATCGAATCCTTGCACAATCTAGGTTAGTGCGTTATGTCATTAGAGTGTAGAGTAGAATCTGGCGGCCGACCGTTGATGATGCAAGTCATGTATATTGTAAGAATCGTTCCCTTCCATTTCCAATTCTCGAGAATCCTCTGGCTGCTCGGAAATCGTATAACGGAGGATGGGGGTGAACATGGGGGTTGGCTGGACATTTTGGTTGTTTCGCGTAGTTCGGTAGCGCTAAATGGTTTGTTCTGGCAGATCGAGGTTTTGGGATGAAATTGTTTAAAGGCCACGCTATATAGTGAATAGTGGCATCAAAAAGGCAGAGCCTAGGAAAGTGTAGCTTTGATATGCAGCGTAACGTAGTGGCGTTCTATTCCACAAGCTTTTGTAATGTAAAATCGGGCCCTGTAGGTACGTCTCAAATCTTTAGTAAGTGAGAATCCTTAAGTACATAGACCCTTCAAGACTTACCGGAATGTTCCGCCGATAAACATGCCAGCTTTCACAAGCGCAATCACGATTCCATCCTATACCCCACCATCAAGCTCAGTGCATTTCAAGGGTGCAGTAGCTACCGTCCGCCCAAAGCTATAAGCACTAATATTTCATCGACATTTCCTTACATAACAAGAAACTGACCTGAATATGAGCTAGTCTTTATTTCGAAAAATTATTAGCTTAAGGCCATCCTTGTATTATACCGGAAGCAAATTTCACTCGGTCATGTTTTATAGATGAGACTGTATCAGTGCTTGAGCAGCCGCCTGACCACTAATGTAGGGGCGAATCATGTGACACAGAGACTAGAGAAAGAATTTGCGGCTATAAGAACAAAAAGGAACATTGGTTATGCGTACATCGTTTCCTCACAACACCGAACCGCCAAGTAAATAATTATTTATCTCTCTCGCCCAATGATTGTAGTGTTTCATTGATAATGTAGTCGTGTCTTGTGCCACTTTGGTGGTTCAGGAAACCCCTTGTTGAGAATTTGGCGTCGGTTTTGTCAACCTCGTTAGGAATTGGCGATTAGTTCAGAGATATTATGGGCCCAGAAGCCTGATTCGTACTGGTGGTAGGGGCCCAGGCATCGAAATTTGAGGTCATATGATAGAGAGGCTCCTGTTCTTGACCCATAGATGGAAAGTTGGTATAGGACGGTGGAGGAAGGTTGAAATCGGTTACGTTCAATAGCGAGGTTGAAAGCCCCCAGGAGCTCAAAGTATCAGGGAAACTGTCGGACCATTGCAGACTTGGAGGCACCGATCCAAAATCGGAAACCGTGAGCGATGGCTCCAGACTCCTCAAGATAGTTTGGACATGGATGTAGTCTCCAAGACGGACAGCTCGGGCAATCTCGCGCAACCCCCATTTTAAGACGACGATGGTGTTCTCATTGGTTTCCATCTTCCTAGCTACCCGGCTTCGTCGATTTGCTTGTCTCTCTCTGTTTCGTTCTCGCTGAGAACATTTCTCTTGTGTGTCTGCGTGATGGTGTAGAATCGCTGTTTCAGTCATGGTCGGTGATTGTGCGCGTTGTATCGACTGGTTCGGTAGGAGCTATTGTGCTATTTCGTTCTAAAGATTATTGCCACCCTTTTATGTCCGGGAGCTGCGATTATTTGTCTACGTTTTACTCTTCGATGAGCTCTGTTGCCTTCTGGACGGTGAATCACCTTGGAAGCCATCATCTTCAGGTTTCAGATTGTCTCAGTACAGAGTAGCTCAGGTAAGAAACACATAAGTAGAACTATTTTTGGAAATACTGCCAAAGTATAGAATTCTGAGATGATATTCGTCTCCAGGTGGGCATATCAGCTGTCCATGTGAATAGGCAGTATCTGGTCCACGATCAATCAGTGGATAAGGATTAGGAAGTGATCAACATGCAGGTTTCTTAGCCGCACGTCCTAGCCCTCAGAGTAAGGGGTTCCCCACGGGACTCTATTTTAGGAAGCACGAACAGAGAGGAGAGAATATCATTCGGCTGCACGTTACTGTCATCCCCAACCGTCAGCTGACAAATGATCAGATGCCTTTTGACCAAGACATTCTGATACTCATGATCCATCTTCTCTCTTCATGAAGACTTTATTTAGAACATATTCACAAAAGAAAATATGGTAGGAAATGGGTCATTGCACCTTAATTAGTATCTTCTTATATCTATTAGTTAGTTTTCGATTCACTAGAATAGCGGCTAATCAAAGTTCATGTTTCACGTCTCTATGCCTAATCCATTTGTGAGTCACTCACTCCCCCGAGGGCGCAGCAACTTATCACAATCTTCCTGTTTCACTACATAATGATATCAGTAGTAAGTTAAGACCTTCCTGCAACAGAGAATTGTAATTGGCAGGTCTACGACCCTTGTGTCCTCCTGATGAGATTATCCTATTTTCTTCAGAGCTAATTGGCATTATTAGACAGTGTCTCATGATCTAGGGCTCCTGGTGGCTCCAAACTCCGTGTAGTGACTCCGCAGGTGATCAAGAGGTCGATTTTGTTATTGCGGCAAAGTAGGCCGATCGGTTGACCAGGCTTATACTCACGGGTCGTCTCAAGTATATACGAGCCTTTTTCGATATGTACTTTGCACCCTTTAGGATCGATAGCTAAATGATCTATTATGGGAAAGAGAACCTGCCTGTCATCCGGCTGAGGTGCAACTGATGACAGAACAGTATCGCAACGCGTATCTTGATACGCTCGGGACTCCACATAGAGCCATGCTCTCAGGAATAACTCCTTAGGGCTGGTGGACATATCCCCCATATCTGGCCAATTTGCTTCCAGTGATTCCTTGGCGTGATCCCAGTCCATATCTAGTCGATCCTGCTGCGCGACCAACCATATTTTAGCTCCCTCCGGAAGCGAAGCTTGTAGTCTTTCATCCCAGAGGATAGGGAAAGACGTTTCAAAGTAGTTCTTATCAGGAATTTTCCAATGCGAGACACTTTTGGGTTTCATTATTTGCAATACAAGTAGAACTGAAAAATGGCAATGCATGGAAGCTTCTGGTGGAAGAAATATCTTTGCTCCCGTTTCCAGTGTTGATTTCACTAAAGGAAACTCGAGTGCATCCCCCATATCTCCTTTGAGGATTACCTTTCCCGACTTTTATATGATTAGTGTACAGTCAATGCTTCTGAAGTTGGAAAATTACCTTGATCGGGCTGGTGGCAACCAGAATGGAACGCTGGTTCGGCAACCTTTCAAGACCTACATTCTCGGCCAACGAAGTTACACCTTTGCTGCCAAGGAGGCCAGTTAAGTCGGTTCTATTCTGTCGTTCTTGAGCCATGGTGCTGGGCAACAACGGCTATCCGCGTTGGCGAAAGGGAAGGATGCTCAAGCTTTAGAATTGAGCAATATCGAAAGTTTATATACGCACTAATTTTTGTTGCGAGTGCCAGAGTTGCAGATTGGGATAGCTTCTTGGAATCTACTAGTTGTCTTTCTACATTTCTCTACTCCATGCAAATATAGATATCCAAGAATAGCTCTACGGTTGCAGCACCAGAGTGCAATCGTATACACCTTGTGCCGTCATTGTTATATATATCCTGGGTTATAAGATTCAAGAAACTCTTTCATACGAGTCGACAAGATACATTAGTTGGTGGAGCCTGATATTCCATATTCAACTCCTTAAGTAGGTGACTTTATTCCCGTGCTGGGTATCTATAACTATACAATTGTACTCATACCACTCATAATCTCTGATATCACGCTGCGTGTTGAATAGTTTCACGGTAGGCGTTTTATGAGTGTCTACTAGCAAAGAAAAACATAATCGCGATGCAAACTTACTACTAAGTTCTCTGTGCTTATTCAAGCTCTCAGCCACAATTTTCAACTATAAATAACACTATACCAAGTTTTTAGCTCAGCTTATAAACGGGTCTCATGAGTCCTGGCTTATTTGCTACCTAAATGAAATGTATGAGATGCTTAGTACGCCTTGCCAAGGCTAACCCCTCCATGGTCGCACCTAGGTATCACACGCCGGAGCAGTAAACAAAGACCAGTCTAGAGATATACTATAACAAGTTCTCGTATTAGAAGCATATTTGCAACGAGGCGTACTCATAGCCATTCATCAACAAGCTGAAGTGAATCAGGATCTGTTCAACAGGAATGTCCGAACACCTTGGTGGCAGGAAAGGCCTACATGAAGCTGCGGCTTGGGAAAATAGACTATTATATCATTTTACTATGAGTTACTCCTGTAATTTAAGGATTAATTAAGGGGCTATTACAAGCCTAACAGGAGTTGGGAGTTTTAGCATGCATTTAATAGTCCGTCAAAATCTATCTCGGCACATGGTTAGGCGTTTGGAAAGTATGGACATCTGGGACTTGACGGCATATATATCAACCCAATAAGGAGATGGTAGCATGTTGCAGTGCTAAAGAATGCTATTGTTTTATCTATGCCTGGGTCTGAGTTTACTACAGGCACTAGAGAACTTCACCCTCGAATTCCTGCCGTGCATCTCTTGATGAACCAGCAATGCTGCAGCAGGAATGAACCTAACTCTGCATTTGCGACTCGGCTGACGCGCATGCAACTTCCGATGGGTTCTCAAGTTGTCACGCCGACTAAACCCATTCTTTCCGCAAAACTCGCAGAAAAAGGATTCGGGGGCTTCTCTGTGCAAACTAATGTGAAGGTTTTCAGCAAAGCCAAGCTTGTAGAGGGCAATGCGTAAGGTGCACTTACGTCTTCATATGACGTTTCAGGTGTTCATTTCTTCGAAATGTCCAACTACATCCAGGAAATTCACACCCGTGAATATTTCTTTGGAGCGTCCGAAGTGGCTCGATGCCTGGTTTGCCTTTGTTCCTCCTTCGAGGTCTTCTCGGTGATTTCTGCAAACATGGTACCCTTTCTGTCGTGCCATTCCCAGCTCTGCCAGTCTGTGAAAGTTTTAGGCCATGCGACTCCAAATCGTCGTCGGGATTCCAGTTAGAGGGGTTATGAACTTCCTTAGACACACCCGAAAGCTTGAAAAAGCTTCCGGGGTGCTCATCTTCATCGGAAGGCCAAATCGGACTTGCCAATGTGTGGGCCGTAGAAAAGTCATACCCTGCAACTTCTGAAGAGAAAGCGCGGTCGAGTGAGGTCATCGAAGGCGAGACTGCTCTTTGGGATAGGTCTGGTAGCTCGTATGAGCTTGAGAAATCTAGTTCACTTTCAAAAAAGGACTCGAAGCACGAATCTAAAGAGAAATGTTGCTCTTTGGTATCGTATTGGTATGCAAGCACTTGATTAATGCCGCAATCGGTGAAGTCATCAAACTCGATACTCACAGGGGTACTCTCAGGGGTAAGATGAGAACCCCATGGGTGCGTAAGATTTAGTTCGTCGATATGCATAGCTATAAGGTCTTGAAGTCCTTTCTAAACTTGCTTGAGATGATTTATTGGAACGAAGCCGAATCTTTATATGTCAGATAGGTGACGTTTGGAGCTGATGGACTTTTAATAGAAACAAGCAAATAGTGAAAAGTTTAACAATAAGGTATCAGCATCAACCTCAGTCACATACAAGTAGAATGCAATTTTTGACACTACAGCAGTCAAATGTATGAAACATCTTGTCATCTGCAACAACGCACTAGTTTTGTCTCAGCGCTACAGCGGGCTATCCAGCCACCCACACCACGTACTATCACAACGTTGTCAGGGTTTAAGGGTATACCCGAAGCGCTGTAGGCTGCTAACCGGACTAAAAGGTATCAGGAAATTCGGCAAGACACAAACCCGAGATGAATTATCACCAACGAAGCAGAATTGGAGGGTCTAGGCCTGATAGCTTTTGCCCGGAGTCAAGGACCATGAGACAATACAGCTTAGTCGAAAGTGACATGTATCATAACCTAATTCTTGTATTTCCCTCGTCTCAGAAATCATCATGAGGTAGCCTTACACGGACTGTTGCATGATGCATCTTCTTAACAAGTAAAATTAGACTTGAAGACCTATTTTGCAACGCGAACGTTCTGAATTTGACTATATTAAGCTGCGTGGTAACCTTTGTAGCTCAACTTCATCATCACCATGGACTCCCTTCCTGTCGAGGTATATTGGATACTAGCGAGGTATCTTTCCACCAACGATCTCAGTAGCTTGGTCAGATGCAATAGGCTGAACCGTGAACGCGCCCAGCCACTTCTATATCAGACCCTTCAGCTCAGTTTCACATCTGGTATCGTTGACTGCAGTACCATGCTAGTCCTAAGGACTCTATCGACAAACCTGCAGTTGGGCGGTTTGGTTAGATCTATTGATATTTTACATCGTGGCAATACATACAATTGGAGCCTAGGTCATTCTCAACTCCTAAGTCCAATTCTTTCGGCCATCATGCTTGCTCCTGAGCGAGTAACCACTTTTTCATGCGAGTGCCCATGGGTTACAGGTACACAGCCTTTCCCTAACCTCAGAAGCTTGCTTCACAAAAACATTCGATCCAAGGCAGAGCTTGAATGGATTCAGTGGCATTTATCTCATTGCAGTCAGCTCGGTTCTGTCATCCTTAGCATTCCAGCCTGGAAGCTAATACCAAGTACTATGTTCTTTGAAAATACTCTCTTAACGCATCTAAAGGAATTATCGCTGCATGGTTTTTGTGTCTCTGAACTTGTACCTGCGAGGACATGGAATCTGCGTAATTTGGACCTCAATCTCTGCCCTGGTGCCGATCGATTGATCCAGCGTTTGTTGGAAAAGAAGAAGCTTAGCTCCTTGAAAGTTCTACGTTTTGCCGGCCATCTTTCAAGACATTCTTTTTTGGAACTTCTTTCATATCTAGGTAAGACGTGCGAGTTGGAGGAGCTCTCGCTTCGTCTAGGAGGATTGTCTCATCTCACCGGTAAGAGTGGTGCCATGAGTTCGGTCAACCCCACTGGAGTAACGGCGAGCTCGAATGAAGCTGGCGAACCTATTCGACGCCTACGCTCTTCGTTACTCGAAAAAGTCATTAATCACGGCAAGACGCTTCGGCTGTTGGTGTTGGATATTCGAGAGGTCATAGATCAACCGCAGTCATGCATGCGATTCGATCTCTGCGGAGTGCAAAAGCTCATTGGGTCATGTCCCAAGATCGAGTTTATTGGCATGCCAGTCAACCTTCAGGCTTCTGGTGGGCAGCGTTATCGACGAATGAATTATGAAGTCAGTGAAAATTATCGCTGTGTTTGCCAGACTTGAAAGCGAGTTGTATTAATCTTATCACAGAAGAACATCCATCTATCGGCGAGGCAGCTGAAAGCGTTCCATCTCCGGGGCGATTACCGACCCTTCAGTAGAACCCTAAACGACGCCAAACACGTGTCAAAGCCATTCCGAAACCGCTCAGACTTTGAAATCTTCATAGGTCACTACGATAAACTCAGAAAAGTTTCCTTTAATTTCAAGGGCGAGCGGAAGTTCCTTAACGTCAAAGAGGAGGAGGTCAAATTATATGATTTAAATCTGTGAAATATGGTATTAAAAATGAATAAAAGGTAAATCATCTCTTAAAGAAACCATTAAAAATCGACATAAACAAGCGTTAAGTGGAAGGCATAACCTGGTCTTGAGGTCCCACGCAGAGACCATGAATTCAGCAGGGGCAAGTCTTTCACATACCACATATTATGAACACATCGTAAATAAGCACTAGACATGAGTGACGTGGCTATTGCCATGACTTATACACAGGTCAGGAAACGGAAGTTTCCCGTTAGTTGGACCGCCCTTGAGTCGCACAAGGCAGTATTACTCATGACCCTCTGTTGCAGTCTCCATACAACGACAGTTCGGTCAAAGTGTGAACGAACGATTGGTTCGCATATCCTCCTTGCAGTGTCAAGTATAACCCCAATCGAAGAAGCCGTAAGCACGACCCAAGACACTCTTATTGTGGCTGCCACATTATCCGCTGCCTCCAGTGGCTACAAGCGTGGTTTATTGTCGCTATCAATCTTTGGTCCTTCCTTATTGATCATTTGCGAAATATCTAGGTGACTTTCGATCTTGGCCGGGATAATATGAATGCGTTCATGTCAAAAAAGATCTGGTTTGTAATAAAAGCAGAATGAGATAGGGGCGTGGTTAGAACTGTGGATTTGATGCAGGGCAGTGGTACTGTTGAGAGCTCTGGTTTGCTTCTGAGTTCTGACATATTCTGTCACGGTACAAGATAAAGTCAAGGTACGCTTGGCCGTTACCTCTGGAATTGGACTCAGACGATTGCCCTTGGACGCGATAAATTTACAGGAGAAAGAATTTTGCGAAAAACACGTGATCAATACACAGATTTATGGTGATGAACCAGAGGCAAGTAATATACAGTACCACCGCTTTGTGAACGAGTGCAGAATATCCAACGTCTCTGAGCACTACCGACACATCCTTCTCAGTGCTTTCTTACCTCTTCTTCACCCAAATTTCTCGTTTCAATCGACCGGCAATGATAGCGTCAGCCGACCTGATGGTGTAAATAACAATAAGCACCAGATCTCAGCTATCTAATGCCAGGCCTCAGACTTCATATAGCGGCAAGCTTCTTCTCGGCGTATTCATCAAAATCACCAGCAGGTATACCGGGCGAGAGGTGCTTCATTTCAAAACCATTGATTTCGAACAAACCTAGCCATTGGATGACTTTCGTAACGGCCCGTTCGACACTTTCCTTGGTCCTCTTGACAGAGGTCGAACCAACGACTCTAGTATCGGGACGTCTTCCATTGGCACCTGTCAAATGAGCCGACGAAGGGAGATTGCTGGGTGTTTGCTGATTGAATACCATAACTAAGCCGACCGATCCGATGTATATCGGCACTCCTGCCGGAAGACCCGAGGAAATAATGGCTAAAATGGCCCCTAGGGTTACCGCTTGAGCGTATATGGTAGAATGAGACTGAATCTTCCCCATGCCAATCCTCTTGGACATAAAAATGAGCAGCCGGGTGTACAAGAAAGCATGGAGAAGTTTGACGCAAGCCTCATGCGCGAAAGAGTCCTGTCGTACCACTGCAGCAAAGGATAGCACTGGCCGCAGCATCGCCGGCGCCTGGTATGATGCCCGAGTGGTTTTATCCCCCCGGCGCAGCGTTCTAGCTAGACGGAGGCTGGTGATTGAATGGATCATACAGGCAGCCGTGTCGAAGAGATCTGGCTGTACTGTCCTTCTGGAGGCACGAAAATAGTATCGCGTAAGCTCAAAAGTAGCAGCCAGAACATGTAAGGCCAGTGCCAGGGATTTCTCTGCACGTGGGTGTCCATAGTAACCCAAGATACTGTGACGAGTATGATATGCAAATATTATGATGTAGCCAAGGCAGATGAGCAGGTATTCTGTGTTGCCGTTTGGTAAGACGTTGGTCCATTCGGCCCACTGCTCCTGCCAAGTTGGGCTTCCACTGTCGTTTTTATCTTCCATAGTGAGAAAACGCCTGGCACCGATGTTTCGAGAACCGACGCTCCGCAGGGACTGTCACAGAAGGGAAAGTGTCAGTCTTGTAAAGGGGATCTGAACCGAGGAGAGCAAGGTCTGATGAGGGCATTGGAGCGGGCTGAGACTCGATCTCTGTGTACTGAACATCTTTTAAAGTATGTTCCAGAGAACGCAGGTTTAGTTTCGAAATTCCATGAGCAGTCTCTGAAAGGCTGTCGTATGACCAAGTCATTTGTTATGGGGCCGCCCCTTAATCTTTTCACAACCCTGTCGTAGGCCCGGACGTGAAGGCCCTAAAGACCGATTAGGACTCCCAACTGGAGCCATGTGAATGATTACACGTCCTAAGTTTGTTTCACCAATGATAATTTATGGATGCAGGATAATGCAACGTCCACACCGCGTGGCGTATTATCCGCTAAGAAACGATTACGAGCTCGGCAAAACCAAGCAAGATGTGAATTTCATTGACAGCCTGAAGGCGCAGTCACCGGGAAATGGAAGAGAAGCCCTAATTTTGCTCACACCTCAGACTTTGACAGACATGATTTACTATCTCTTATCTAGGATTGACCAAGCAGGTTTGGAAAACGAATTGAAACACGTGCAAATGATGCCACGACCGTCTTGATTGATGTATATCGGCTTTGCTTTCTCTAGTATACCGCAAGAGTATTCCTTGATCTCCTCCCTCGGGCGCTTAGACTACATAATTATTCCTCAAAAAGAAGAAATTTTCTTTACATCTTCAATTGTGCGTAATAGGATAGTCGAGACCAGCCTATAAGATATCGATAGATCCATTCGAAGGATAGAACGGGGATGGGGTCTGCGAACCTCATTAGCATCGTGGAGCTCGTGCAGCCTCTTGCAATGTTTTACTGGCGTGACTCACATGAGGATAGAGCTGGTCGTATAGGCTGAGATAATTGAGTTCCATGGGAGTCATATTACTGCAGGCTATGTGCGGGTTGAATCCATCGCTGCTGGGGTACGCTTCTGAATTGATGGAGTCGTTCAAGTGTGTTGCGAGAGAAGGTGGCATGGGCACTGTGGAGGACATTATGCTAGCAGCATATTCGCCAGCTGCCACAATGTCTATGTCGGACTGAGCAAGCCCATAGAGAGGAAATGGAATCTCAATGGAAACAGGGTTGACGGGGCAATTTAAGCGGAATTGGTTGTCGGAGCTCATTTGGTCGTCGTAGGTATCGGGAAAGCCAGGCTCGCCAGTAGGCGTCACTGGTGAGTTGAATTGAAGCTGAGGGACCCCGGGTAGTCCGGGACCTGTAGAGCTTGATTTTCTACTGCGGGATGCAGAGGAACGGCGTTTGCATCTGGTAGGCTGTTGACGGGGTTTCTTAGCCTCTACCTCGTCAGAGGAACCAGTAAGGCGCTTGACTTTGTTTCCTGTCGTTGGCCGTTAGTTCTGCTCGACCGACGTGAATGGCTTCCTCTAGAACTTTTCCTGATAATCCACAATCGACAGGATCCAACTTACGGTACTTGCGCTGAGCAAGGCGGTTCTGTATCCTCCTCCGCTTACCAAAATCTGATATCTTGGTCCAATCTTCCTCGGGCTTGATAATAGCGCGTAAGGAAGTCGGATGGGCATAGTCAGATTGCATAATGGGTATACGAAATTTGTGTATGGGTGAGTCTGTGATGAAAGCGGTACCCCGTCGGAGGAATTTTTAGCTATTGTGTCGTCAAAGTTGCTACCAAAAGAGCTGAGATCTCCTCACTTCACACCCACATTAGAAATACTGTTCTGTATGAGTCTCTTGTACTTTGAGTTGGAAAGTGCCAATCGCTAGGGCGAGGATATGGTTTTCTGATTGGGAGAGGGGGTTATGAGAAATGTGCTTCTTTTCGAAACTCAACATCAGGTGATGGATGGGCATGCAACCCTCACGAAAGATGGTCCTCTACCCACGTTTGGCCTTTTTCTGCATCAAAAGCGCACTGATCCTGAGGGACAATACTTGTCTCTTGAGGAGGTCTATGCCTACCGTAGCATGGGTCCCTTCAGATCTCCACGGAATGCACAGCAATAGCCCCATCAACCGTATACCCATTTTTCGGTGAAAAAACGAGTGGCAACCAGTTTCAGTCGAGGCTATCGACTTATTCTTATACCATGAATTAATGATTTACTCTATGATACACGAACAATCACAGTGGCAATTCTGTGTTTACAGACCTAATTGCTGTGGGTCTGCTGGGATCAAGAACGGTTTGGAAGGGCAGAAGACAAATTCAAGTGCAAAAGTGGACTCGAAATTCACAACACAGTCGTGATATGAGTCACTCATCGGCTAATAAGTCAAGTACTCTGACTAAAAGCTGAAGGTGGCGATCGGTTCTTACTAAGGGGTGGGGAAAAAAAGGAATCCCTGTTTGTCCGCCATTGCAATGGACGCGTTCAAGTCAACGAGATACGTCGAAATCGTTAGGAATGATCGCCCAAAGCAGCCTTTCTGCACAGTTTCGTGCTCAAGTCAAACCACTGCGTCGTTATGAGCTTTAGTGGCAGAGATATCATCACCCCGGTTGTTAGGCCATCGATATACACGTCCTGTACGTACATCAGGTTGCAAGCCTGCTTGAGTTTGTTATCAGAGCCTTGAACCGGTAAATAACGCCTGCCATTGATCCGGACTGAGCTCCGTTGTCTTGTCGCCAGTTTCAGCGGCGAGAATGTACTCTTTATCAAGTGTATGGGGTATATCAGGGGCAACTAATCTATCAAGTCTATGGTGATTTTCTGGTCCCTCAGCTTCGATGTGCGCAATTATGGATTCTCGGTGGCTCTGGGCACTACAGCCATGTATACCAGCGAGAAACTGCTGAATAAACTTCTGTGTAGCATATTCTACATCAGTGTTAGCATCGTAAGTAGCCAAATTGGCTGGTTCCCCAACATGGTTTTGTGGGCTTGAGGGCTGTCTTTGACATTCGTCTTCTTCAGTGGGGGAAGTGTCAACTATTTTCTTCTCATAGTATGGATCTACCTCGGTAGTGCTGATTGTGGAATCATCGACTTCCTAAATGGAGATAGTAAAATTCTCGCAGGCAAAGGTACCATCTTTTTCAATCTCCTCATTCTCGAGGGGCGAATCTCTCTCGGGTCTGGTTGCTTCGTTCTCTGCCACCGAGTCAACTGCGTCTGACAATTGCTCGCCCTGGTAATTTATTGCGGCGGTTTTCGCCCTTGCCTTCTGGCGCTTCCGGTAGTTTCGTGTACGGCTCACCTGTAGGACGCGTCGACGTTGCGTAGCGCTATCGTATTCTTTTGTGGCACAAATCGAACCTTCATTGCTACTCTTATCGTATGGCTCTCCTGAACGGTCCTGATAAGCGTGATAAGCGTGATAAGCGAAATTTGGTGATGACACTTTTATTTTAACACGGTTCGGGTGAGGTGTCACTCAATAAAAATCCCGTACTTGGAAGCATACCGACGGACGTGTTATTAAGCTGGCGCTAGCTATTTTGGGCGATGTAACGCGTAACTACTGAGACGTGAAAATAGGGTCTATTTATAGAAACGCGCTTTGTTTTCCTACCCTATACGATTTATTCTGGAACCAATCTGTCTTTATTGACAACCTTCCT